TACACCATTGTTGACACCATGCAACTTTTTGTTGGTTTTCTGGTTTGGGGTTACAAATTTGAGCTTCAAATAGTATCAAAAGAGATATTGGCAGTTGAGATACACTCAAACTAGTGACAAAAAAAGGGATTTGTGAATAGACTAGTCCAGGGGCGTACGCAGGATTTTTCAAGGGGGGGGTTTAAAATATTTTGCTCCCGAAAATTTGAAAATCGCGCCGGCCGAAAAGTCGCTCAGTGGGGGGGGGGGGGGGGGGGGGGGGGTAAGCGGACACTTTTTTTTTTTTTTTTTTTGGTCTCAAAATTTCAAATTTTGACATTTTTCTTCGTTGAGGGGGGGGTAAGGTCACCTTATTTAGGTTAGCCGTGGGTATTTTTTTTTTTTTTTTTTTTTTTTAATAATAAAAAAAAATAAATAAAAAAAACAAAAAACAAAGGGGGGGGGGGGGGGGGGTTTGAACCCCCAAAACCCCCCCCCTGCGTACGCCCCTGGACTAGTCCCCACTTCTGTAATTGCTTGAAGTAGAATGTGGCACACAAAACCCAAGTCAGACTTGTGTTCAGTACGTCATGTTTTATTTTGTTCGTTGTTCTTATTCTTACTTTTTACCTGATAACTCCTAGAATGCTGGGTGAAATTCAGGAGTTTAAATACTGAATCATTAAACTCGAAAGAATAGAAATTGCTTTGAGACATTAATTTTTTAAACTTATCACAAAAGTGCAGAAGTGATTGAATGAGATTGAATGAAATATTCCAGTTTTTTCACAAACACCAATCGGAAATAACTCAACCAGGTCAACCCCAGGTCAGCCCTCTGACGTGATGCGGGATCCCGCTTTGTCGGAGTAAAATCCAGAACCAGAACCAGAGAACCAGATCAAATTTCCCTTGAATCTCTAAAACTTTTGTGATCTTTGGTATTTAAGGGATTTTAAAGGAATAAACTGACTTTAGGCCATATCTGCAAGGAAAGGTGGTGATAAATGTGTGTTTCTATCCAATGAAGCATAGCTCGACACTAAGAGGAGCCTGGGACACATGTAGGTGCCTAAAATCCTGACGCCCATAATTTTGAATTTTTACATAGGGTTCATGCATACAGACTATAAAAATGTCAATCTGGACTCCCTAAACGAAGTTAGCATGGAGCTCTGAATTAAGGCCAGATCACAAATAAACCTAACTGCGACATGTTTTACTGGTGCCAGGTAAAAATGTCAGAGGTAAAAATGTCAGAGGAAAAAATGTCAGAGGAAAAAATGTCAGAGGTAGAAATGTCAGAGGTAAAAATGTCAGAGGTAAAATTGTCAGAGGAAAAAAATGTCAGAGGTAAAAATGTCAGAGGTAAAAATGTCAGAGGTAAAAATGTCAGAGGTAAAAATGTCAGTCGTAAAAATGTCAGAGGAAAAAATGTCAGTCGTAAAAATGTCAGAGGTACAAGCAAAAAAATTAGCAAAGTGTTTCGTACATGTCCTGAGGATAATACAATGTGGAAAATAGATTTTGAAATTTATTTTGTTGTGATCAGGCTTGCATATAATGAATGTCTAACATTTTTTGATATTTTGATTTGGTTGATGTGTTAATGTTTGTGAAACGGACCGGTTTGGCCGGTGGCAGCCTGCAACATAGCCCGTGTAACGTTCCAGAGACGAACAAAGTCCAAACGAAGAAATGAAAATTCTCGACAAAAGTCAAGTGTTAAAGTGAGTAGTGCATTTAGTACAAAATAGTTACATAATCCCGAGGAATCACGAAAAGTTACATATAAGGGCTGGGCGCCCCGAACTCTGCTAAAGCTTTAGCACCTAATGGCGGCAAAGGAAGTGGAGTAAGAATAAGAAAATCAAGAAGTCGCTCCGAAAAGTAAAAAGTCGCTCCGAAAACTAAAAACCCGCTCCAAAAAGTAAAAGACTGTCTCGATTTAGAAGCTCATCCCCATTTTAAACTCTCCGACAATTATAAATAACGATGTCATTTAAACCGAACCTCTGCAAAGCGCGCACTTCTCTAAAATGTGATGGTGCGGTTGGCATTTAAAGATAAAGTTGAGTTCTGGTCTTGCGAAGTTGCATTGTGAAAGAAACGGTGTGGAAGCAATCAGAAAAGGTTGATCATCTAGCATAAACATGTAAGTATTGGTGTGTAGTGCAAGGTTTTGGAGTCATCAAAATGATAAAATCTTTGGCTCAGTCTTGGTAAAGTAACAAGCACTGTACACAGAAAGATATTGATATGGGACTACACAAACATATTATGGCATACAAATCGGGCCTCATTTTAAAGCTGTTACTTGTCATATCTGGGATATGAAGTCATTTGAAATAGATTTTCAAGGAATAACTTTTTTCTTTGATGTTCTTCCACACTTGCATAATAAGAATGATAACAAACGCTCACATTATTGTTCACTTTTCCCCAGAACTCAACCTTCTCTTTAATTGATGTAACGTGGGCGGCTTTCTGCTTTGTATCGGAGTAACAAAGCTGCTTATTGATTTTTCCCAGACTATTTTATACCGCAATAGTAATCGACAATATTTTATTGCAACGTGCGCACTTCGGGAATGTGATGGTGCGGTTAGCACTGATTACATGGCTTTCTGCTTTGTTTCAGCATGGACCCTACTTTCAGAGTATCAAAATACCAAGCCCACAAGAAAGTGGAATTGTCGGAAATATGCATTTATTGGAAATTACATATAATAGTAGTCATTGCCACGCAGTTGAAATGTCCAACAATCTTCAAAAGTGAAGGAGAAGTGGGGGGGGGGGGGGGGGGGGGGAAGGTTCATAGATATCTGATCCTATTTTGTGGGCTGTACTGACTTTTCTTTTTATTTAATGATTACACCATGGAGCGACAACTCAGCCTATAAAACATGGCCAAACTTCTCGATTTTAGAAATCTTTCCCCCCGGAAGTTTGCTCAGTGTACCAGTACCATTTGCTTATACAAAAGCATAATATACCGGTAAATAAATATTGAACTAGGCAGAATAATGGGACATGCATGGTTGCTACTCCGAGTTTCATGCCTTGCAAGCGATCATCAGACAAATTACTGATAGCATTCATCAAAGTACATGATTCCTCTACAACCTTGGTACAAATACGCTCAAAATAAGAGCTATACAATACATGTATATCCGTCCTCCATTTATTACCACAATTACTTTACTGGGGCCTACAGCCTTACAAGCTTGCTTTCATGTAGGTCCCATCATATTTCTCTTAGTTAAATCACAAATTCATATTGACCACTTATCTTTGTTATTATTATTTGTTATTAAAATAAAAACAATTTTGTACTTCATTTGAAATAAATGTATGTTTATGAGAAATATGAAAATAAATGAAATGAAATGAAAAATAAGACTACAATACCTGAATACAATGCAATAAGAATACTCATGAGTAATTCCAATTGTATTTTTATTAGTTAAGTCTTTAGTCTTTTAGAGGTATTTGTACCAAGGTTGTAGGATAATCATGTACTTTTAAGAATGCTATCAGTTGCCTGATGACTGCTTGCAAGGCACGAAACTCGGAGTAGAAACCATGTCCCATTAGTCTGCCTGCTCTGCCTAGGCATTGACCACTGTTCGGAAGGATATATAAAGCAAAGCATATATATAAGAGGAAGGGGAGAGCAGCCGGGTCACCGTGCCCCAGAAGAAGAATACCCTCCCCCCCCCCCCCGTCTTCCTTCGGCAATAATCGGGCAAAAAGTCACAATTTTGGGCCGAAAGGTAAATAAATTTAAACTGGGAAAGTGGAAAATAAAGCAGCGGTGAAATAACGACTGCAGAATATCCCTCGCTGTTCTTTTTCGATAAGCCTAATTAAATATATAACCCGGGTGTAATTATAACAAGCTTGTCACATGCTTTTGTTTTTATTGTATACCTCTAACATTTATACCTCTGACATTTTTACCTCTGACATTTTTACCTCTGACATTTTTTCCTCTGACATTTTTACCTCTGACATTTTTTCCTCTGACATTTTTACCTCTGACATTTTTTCCTCTGACATTTTTACCTCTGACATTTTTACCTCTGACATTTTTACCTCTGACATTTTTTCCTCTGACATTTTTACCTCTGACATTTTTACCTCTGACATTTTACCTCTGACATTTTTACCTCTGACATTTTTTCCTCTGACATTTTTACACCGAGCCGTTCTACTAAATGAATTTCAAATGGTGTTTAAAAGTTGAAACAAGAAGCTGCCTGCAACGAAGGTCCTACACACGCTCACTAATCTGTTAAAAGATACACCGCCGCAGTGTACTGCGTGAACTATGAACTATGTGAATGAGCCTTTATGCCCAGTCTGACTGAAAAGGGTTATTTTATTGACAAGTTTTTCTGCTCTATGCATGGCCTTCTATGAATGAGAAGTGAGCTAACAGTAATGTTTAAAACAAACATCAAAGTAGACTTTGACCTCATTATCAAACCACTTGAATCATAAAATTAGTGAGTTATCTATAGGCATGCTTGTTAGCTCAGATTGTTTGTACAAGCTTGAATAAAACCCTTGACTTTGAATTCAGCTTTGAAAATCATTTAGATTGTGTTGCATATGGAGATCTTGAAAATGCTTTTGAAAGGATTGTAACCAAGAATAAACTTGAAGAAAAAAAAGAGAAAAAAAAGATTTTTCAATATACGTTTTCTAATATCAAAAAGCTTTGGAAATTGGAAAAATGTAACAATTTTACCCACCGGTATTTGAAATTGGGACAAACTTAATTCTGTAGATAAAGCATTGAAAGAGGTGCACTTGGTAGGTAATTAATCTTGTAGAATGTTAATTAAAAAATTAAAAAACATATTTTCAAATTTACCCTAGAGAGTACTATGTACATGTCCTTGAAAACCAGTTCTTATGTTAAATTATGTTTAAAGGTCCACCTGTCTTTGATGTCTGCTTTCTTGCCTCTATAAATTGTTTTTTATAGGTTTTTTCTCTTTTATCTCTTTCAGATTTTAGCAAGATTAGTGGATGGGAGCAGATTCCATGAGTTCAAAAAACTTTACGGACCTACTCTCATTACCGGATTTGCCTTTGTGAGGGGGTAAGTCTTCTACTCTACATATCCAATAAGGTTTTGTATTTGGATAATTCCATAAATTAGGGACCCACTTTGTGACATTTTTGGTGTCCCACTTGCATAAGGAACCAACACGTATGTGTGGCTCTGACTAAAGACTTAAATAGTGGAGTGAGATTGTAAAGTGATTTCCAAGCATAATACTGCATCCTCACTAGAATCACTTAACAATCTCACTCCACTATTTAAGTCTTTATTCTGAGCCACAAATACGTGTGGGTTCCTTTTGTAAGTGGGACACCAAAATTGTCACAAAGTGGGTCCCTTCTTTTATGGAATTACCCATTTATAAACCTGTAATATGTATATACCGTACATGTACTTCTCTGGTCTCCACTTCATAAAGAAGAATTAAAAGGATTTGAAAAAAGAGATGCGGTTGCAACTTTCTGCCAACAAATCGACTCAATTTCTTTCTTCAAACTACCGTATGTCTATGTTTGAAGTATGCATGGTACATGAGGGGTACAATAATCCATATTCTCTCTCTATAAGAACTATGTGTACTTCAACAAATTCTGTTATTATGATGAACATCCTGTATTTTGTACTTCATAATTTGGTGAGGTTTCCTCCAATATGACCACTTCCGCTAAATACAAGATACAAGATATTTTATTTGGTCTTTGCAAACAAGTTACATAGAAATTTGGTTTCCACCGGCGTTACAGTAATATTCAAGAAAATACATAAATGACAAGAAATAAATACATCACGTTTATAGAAATAGATGAAATAAGGAACAAATACATGCAAAGATAATGAAGCCACGAAAATAGTCATTGGTACTTCAGTGAGCCACCTCTGACTTGTCTTGTCTTGTCAAATAACAACCGTCTCTGTCTTGTCTCTCCGCTAGACACCTCGTGGGAATCGCAGCAAACGACGGTGAGCTGTCCCACGATGCCGCCACCAAGGGTGCGCACTTCGCGGAGCTTTGCCAGCATCGTAACATCCCCCTCATCTTCCTGCAGTCCGTGTCCGAGGACGAGAGCTGGGCTGAGGGTAACCACGAGCTGATGGGGGAGACCATCAAGGCAAGGGCCAAGATGGCCGCCGTGGTGGCCTGCATGACGGTGCCCAAGATCACGGTCATGGTGGGAAGCAGCTATGGCTCAAGTAGCTTCGCTATGGTAAGCATTGGCAATAATGACTAATTAAAAGGGAAATTGATCATTAAAAGTAAACAACTTTAAAAGTAAGCAGAGCAGAAAAATAACAGAAGTAGGCTGGTGAAAGTTTGAATGAAATTATACAAAACAATAAGACTGTTGAAATCGCTATACGGATGGGCATTTCAAATTGGCTGAATCAGGAATGACCTTGTGATGTAGTGCCGGACAACGTACATCAAAAATGTAATACACATGTATTGTTATGCTGTTATACCAAAATCAGAGGTCACATAGGACTAGTTAAATTAGATGCTGTTCTCATGCAGTTTTAAGATAAGTGATTGTAAACCAGTGAATTTGTTTTGTAGTTACATACAAAAATTAGCAGTATCTTAATGAGCCATTTTCGCAATGTAACCAAATTCAGTGCATAAGTCTTTGTGAAGTGCCTGGACAAATACTTCCATTCACCTGGTACGATTACAAGTATTTAAACAGTCGCATTGCAAATGGCAGATATATTATGTGTTCTTAGGTAGGACAAGCCATAAAGTTTGTCTTAGCTGGCAACAAAGTTATGCATGCAATTTGCATTCTGATTATTTATATACAGTTATTTGTAACAGGGGAATGAAATAATTCATATTGAGGCACTTCATGAAGATGTTTGCATTAACTTGGTTATATTATGAAATAGGCTTATTGAAGTAAGATGGCTGCAGAATTGAGATGCTGTTGCATTAATCTCATTTCTAATCATGTATTAATTTTTCTCCATTTTTGTTTGTGTATTTACAGTGCAGTAGCTCTTTTGACCCTCGTTTTGTATTCATGTGGCCGAATGCAAGAGTAGGACTCCAGAATCCAGAAGAAATGGCTGCACTTGCTGCACAGGTATGTGGCCTCAACCTTTACCAGGATATATAGATTCTATGATGGGAATATGGTCTGTGGTATGATGATGCAACCCTCGAAACTTGTAAATGTGGAATTTTCAATTGTCTGACATTTGCTCTTGCAGCAATGACTCCTGGGGGGGGGGGGGGGGGTGTTTCACAAAGACTAAGATCGACTTTAAGTTGGACTTAACTATGGCAGGCCTTTCATGCCACTGGTTGCTCTCACCATTATGATCTTTAGATAATATTTTTACTTTGATAATTCATTATCAAAAAATGTGGATTTGTGACCATAATTTGTACGTCCCTTGAGAGACCAATAACAATAAATGGTGAGAGCAAACAGTGGCATGAACAGCATGCCATAGTTAAGTCCAACTTGAAGTCAATCTTAGTCTTTGTGAAACACCCCCAGGTCAATTTCCCATACTAATCAAACTCTTAACTTCAACCCTGGTCGAGTGGATACGTCGCCGGACTGTCGGTCACAAGGTCCGCGGTTCGAGTCCCGCTGCCGCACTAATGTCCTTGGCAAGACATTGATCTACATTTGCCACACTCCACCCAGGTGAAGTAAATGGGTACCTGGTAGGAATTTATTCGTTGAAATGCTGGAGCGCCGTATGGCAGCCATGCTAAAGCCAGTGTAATAATCGGGAGTGCCAGGAGGGTCAAATCTGACTGATATGAGCGATATACAAGAACCCACTATTATTATTATTTTTACACCTAATCCTAACCCTATACCAGTGATGAAATAAAGCCTTTAGCAATTATTGCAAGAGCAAATATTGGATCACCAGAATTTTCAGGAGAATAAAACCTTCATTTTTAATTCAATAAGAATGGTAATGACCTTCCTTATACCACTTGCTTGTGTCATTAGAATTTATTACCCTATTTGACACCTATAATGATTATCGATGATGCCCTTTAAAAATATATTTCCTTTTGTTTGTATAATTTTTAGGAGTCTGGGAAGCCTGAAGATGAAGAAACACTTAGAGAAAAATTCCAGAAACAGTCTACTGCCGTCTTTGCCTCAAGCAGAATGTGGAACGATGGGGTCATTGCACCACAAGATACCAGAAATGTAAGTGAAATGAGAGAGCATGTTCAGAGTAACAAGGATATCTACCCAAGTATGCTTGTTTTTAAATTACACAATTATGTAAACAGAGATACAGAGATAAAGAGGGGGTGGGTGGAGGTGATGGCGATGGGGATATATTGAATGAAAACTTGGAAGAGGTCCTAAGTTTGGAGTTTGATTTTTTGAGCCATATTCTGTACATATTTTATGTAAATGTGATGTGCAGTTCTGGTAACAATGAAACCTGAACTTTCAAAAAAGTCAAAACAAGAATTACCATGAAGTACGTGAAAAAGAAATGTGTATTAGTTGAGAGAGCATTCACTCCATAACATGAATTATATTCTACTCTTAATTTGTCTCAATATAACACATTTTTCCATTCTAGTTTTTAGCTCATCCGGCCCGAAGGGCCCGATGAGCTTATGCCATGGCGTGGTGTCCGTCCGTCCGTCCATAGTTTTCAAAATGCTTCTTCTTTGTTATTTTTCAACCGATTTTGATTCTGATTGTTTCATATGATAGGGCTAGGAGGGGGATTTTAAACTTCTACACAGAAGCGTGAAATTCATTATCTATGCTTATTTATGCAAATTTATTCGAAATCTCGAAAAATGCTTCTTCTCCTTCATTTCTCGACCGATTTTGATTTGGTTTGCTTTATCTGGTAGAGCTAACTTTGGTACACTAAACTTCTACACAGAATTTTGAAATTGTTCTCCATTAATTAATTATGGTAACTTATGCAAATTTATTCCAAAAATAACAAAAATTGCTTCTTCTCCCTCATTTCTTGACCGATTTTGATTTGGTTTGCCTTATCTGGTAGAGCTAAATTTAGAACACTAAACTTCTACACACAATTTTGAGATTTTGCTTCATTGATTAATTATGGTAATTTATGCAAATTTATTCCAAAAATAATTTAAAAATCACAAAAAATGCTTCTTCTCCTTCATATTTCGACCGATCTTGATTTGGTTTGCTTTATATCGTAGAGCTAACTTTAGTACACTAAACTTCTACACAGAATTTTGAAATTGTTCTCCATTGATTATTTATGGTACTTTATGCAAATTTATCCCAGAAAAAACAAAAAAAAATTCTTCTCCCTCATTTCTTGTCCGATTTTGATTTGGTTTGCTTTATCTGGTAGAGCTAAATTTGGTTTACCAAAATTCTACACAGAATTTTGAGATTTTGCTCCATTGATTAATTATGGTAATTTATTCAAATTTATTTCAAAAATAACAAAAAATGCTTCTTCTCCTTCATTTCAATTTTAAAGTTTTGTGTAAAATATTAGGATGATTATTTGCAAATTTGATCCCTCAAAGAAATCTATTTTTATTTTTTGACCAGTTCAAAAGTGTACCACATAAAATTTACAATATTTGTTGTTGCGAGATGCGGATGAGCGCTACGCCATTGACGTTCTGGTTATGGTAGCTATCAATTATTCTCTAGAAGTGCTTTCTATTGCAGTTTGCCCCAATTAATTGCATTTTTATGTCACCAGGTTTTGAGCCAGTGCCTGAGCATCCTCTCCCAACAAGCATGCAACCAGCCTTTTGCCTATCAGAACAGAGCTGTGCTTCGAATGTGATCCCTCAAGGTTCAGTCATAGGACCCTCATGCTGGTGTGTATTCATTGAATCCATTCCGAAACCTCACTAGAATGCATTGTGGTTTTACATGTATGAAACGCTCTGTTACTTTACCCAAGTGCTAATCAAGTGCTGTTGATTTGCTTGAGCGTTTCAAAATTTCTGCTAGAGTATCAAAGTGCTTACATCATATTCACTCGCCGTCCACGTTACTGGCTCTTAACAACAGTGCCTGCACAAGAGGTTCACTGCAAAATCCTTTAAGCAACAGGCTGGGGCAGCGCAAATTCAGTGTTTTGTGCTGGTGGGATCACCACACCATTGTTTTGCACAAAGCTGTTTGGAACTAGCAACCTTGACAACTTGGCCAGTATGACATCACATTTTGGTACTCTGTATGCAATTACTTAATCTCTTGAAATAATGCCTTTCTGTGTGGACCTTTTTAGATTTACAAAACGAAGTAGGCAAAGTATGTGTGCTTCCACAAAAAGCCCTACAGTGTATGTAACTTATATCACACACATTTTGAAGTATGCATAGGGCATCCAATTCAGCAAGTGTCTATAGTATGCTAATCCAATCACAATGTGTTTGCACCCTACCATTAAGGCATTGGCAGAGAGGAGCAATGTAGATCAAATATAAGTGCTGTGCAGGGACTTGAATCCAACACCTTTGCAGTTCCTTTCAGGGGACAAAACCACTCTACCCCTATGCATCTCTACCTCCAAACAACGTATAATAGAGATGGTGTGCACTTTAGAAATTGTGGGTCATTTGATACTGAAAAGGAATAACCAATAGAGCTAAAAATCAGAATATCTATAGTCTTACTGCCATTTTATCACCAAGAAAGTATTTCCTTATTTCGTAATTCACTTAAACCTGATGCAACCCCTAAGTCCTTTTCTACAAAGGGAAACTTAAACGTCGGTCTAATATCTTTTGTTCAAACCATCTGTAGATGGAGCCTAAACCCAGTGTTGGATTTTAAGTTCTTATGTAGACGGAGTACAGACCATTCGGTTTCGGAACCACTGAGAGGACACCAGAGAATGAAGTTTTAAAAAAACAATTGTTTCAATATTTTACAGCATTGAATAATAGTCATGTGTCGTTTTCCTCATGACCGAAACAATTTGTTTTTTAATAATTTTTTTCTGTACTTATGCTTTATTTTTCATGTTGAAAATGGCGATATCTTATGCAGTTGACTTTGCATGTACAATTGAATTATGGTAAGTGGCCTTGGCGAAATAGGAACTGTTGCTGTCATGTACATTCTAATTTCAAAGTGGAATGACAAAACACTTGATATAACTCTATACATTTATAATCTTTTGTCTCATATTAATAAAAATGGACCAAATTAAAGCTGGTTCAATTTTGTCTCTGGAAAGTTCATATTTGAAAATTGATATGCTTAACATGTGTTAGTGGGCACTTGTGAAGTGACATGTAACATAAACAAATAATAGTGATTTCAGTTTCAGGAAAAGTACAAATATTTGGAAAAAACAATGCAACTTGTACCATTTATTAGTCTATGGAATCAAAATTTTCAACTTGATTCTGAGAAATTGTTGATAGTTTTTACTTTTGAGGTGGCGGGACATATGAGTATAATGACTTTTAATTGACGTGGGTGTCAGGCGGTCAGTTTCCTTGGACCACTTATTTTAAATATTCTACTTAAACTGTGATTTAAAACTTGATTTAAAGACTGTATCATGTTAATATGCATCATCATATTCGGGTCTTATTCAGTAAATGCATTGTAGTTTATTGCATGACATTTTATGAATCATTACAAGATTAGCAGTGCATACTAAATAACTATGTGTACTTGCTATGTGTAAAAAGGTGCTGGCAAGATGAATGAAAAATTCATATTTAATTATATTTGCATTATAATTGCACAGTGTTAATTAGATTATGAAATGAAATGACCAAAGGAAACAATCCACTCTAATGAGGGCATATTTCATGTAAATAATAAGTATTGTAATAAATTCAGGGTATGCGTGTGTGAATTATGATATATTGTAAATATCTGAATTATTTGATTCTTTGCCCGTTTTCTAACTGCCCTATCTGTTAAACAGACATAGATATTGGCAATTAAGGTTTGTACCATACTTAAAATTAATTAATTGGAAATTTGTATTGTACTGGTCTGGTACATTGATTACCATTCAACACATTAAACAAAAATTCCATGACATCTAAGAATGATATTCGAATTGTAATTATTTGATGTATTTGTGAGTTTAAATGGGAATATAAAACTTTGCAATGAAACAACTGTATTTAAATTGAAATTTGTTTAATTCATTTATTTGCTTTTACTATGAATTATTTGCTGACAAATCATGATGTGTGTGTGTGAATGAAGAAATGATTTCAAAATCTTTGGAGTAAAGGACCTTACTTAAAATCCTACCACAAATGATAATGGTATGAATGAAAAATGATATCCTACATCCTGGTTTAAATTGTTTAGTTCGTCAGAGTGATTGAAGACGCTGTATGAAGTCAAAATGAAATAGATGAATTACATTCAAAGGAAAGCTTATAAGCCATATATTGCAATACTATCAATTATATGCTATTTTAGTGTCTGTCAAAGGAGTAACAGCTCTCTGAAAACCCAAAGTCTAGACCTTTGAAAATCTATAGTTGTCAACCTAAAAAATAGCTTACAACTGATGACTTTGTCTTATGTGGAGTCAATGAGAATGACTGCAGTAATTGCAATTAAACTGCAATGTCGTCACCGTAACTACGAACCCCTGTTGACCTGTAATTCAGAGGTGTGCGGAAAATGAGGTTTTAATTTGCTTTTGTGCAATACTAAATGGGAGAGTAATTCGTTTTTCTTATATTATGTTTGTATTGTACGTTCTTTCAGTTTTCCATTGATATAAAGTTGTATTTTCATTGGATAGGGTCTATCAAAACTAGCACACTTTAGCCCCCTGATATATGCAGTGCCATATGTCGCCCCTTCCAAATAGGTGATGGCAATTTCTTAATTCTTTGAACAAGATGTGAGGTTACACTTGGCAATCCTTGTATCAGTGGACAAACACGACCCACATAGTCAACATATAAATCTGGAATTTACTTTGGTTCATCCTCTTTCAAGAAAACTGGATTTTGTAATCTTGTCATTGTCATTGTCATCGTAGGGTGAAGGACAAAAAAATGCAGTTCGAGTGAAAGCCCTGAATGAAACGTTAGTGTCTAGTTCAAAACAAAAAAAATACCCATGGACAATTACTCCTGAAAACAACCCCCTTAAAAATATTAACCCTCAGATATCTATCTTGGATGAAAAACTTGAGAGATTGGGTGTAGATGACTAGGGGATCATTGCCATATGTTAGGAAGTAGGGGATAGCTTTTGTATAAGCCAATTTGAGATACAGAAAATAATGACAATTGAAACATACCACACTTCTTTGTATAATAATTCATTTTTTATTGCCTTCATTCTATAACAAATTAAAAGACAAATTAAAAAAGTGTGCACATTACACACAATCCTATGTGCTTTTTTTTCTCTTTGACAAATATGAAAACATGCTCACTAGTTTTTTTAATACTCCTCTAGCAGTGATACAACTTTATAATAGATTTTTATATAAGTTCAGCCATTTTTTGACACAACAAAGCTCAGGCCTTGAGACTCAGAACATAATAGTTTTGCCAGCATCATCAAACTAATTTGGCTAACGAAATGTCAAATACCTGGCATTGCAGTGTACACTCTAAAGGATATTAGTCAAACCGACTTAACCAATACATGTAAAGCCGAGACTATACAAATGTTAGTTTTGATATAGCTCCCATATCCCGACCAATGATTAATAAACAAGGATAACTTTTGAGGTAATTCCAACTCCCAGTCCTCACTGAATTTCAGATAACGTTATTACTCGCATACCTAGCGTTACTTCCATTTATTATGTTGCCATCTTGTGACTTGTGAGGATGGAACAATAGGAATTCTGGGATTTTAGTTTACAAACCGTTCCAATGGTATTGAAGGTTTGTCACAGAGACAAACTTCTCCTATAGGAAAGACAAACAAAATGAAATGAAATGCTCCGTAATTTATACTTCACTTCATCTTTGGAGAGAGAGAGAGGGAAAGAGAAATAGAGAAATAGAACAATAGAGAGACGGAGACAGAAAGAGAAAGAAAGAAAGGCATGAAGAAAGGTAGAATCAAGGGTATACAGAGACATGCGTTGACCAAATTATGTTTTTACTTTTTGCATTGTATTCTCAACTTTAGTCAATTCTAAACCTTTTTCTGCAAACAATTTAGTTTGCAGAAAATTTGTTTTTTTCCAAAAGCAAAGATTTTGACATGTTATAGCAACAGCATTCTTTCAAAAGTAAAAATTTGTTTGACCTGATAATATGGGGTATGGGGTCCCTTAAAGGCGAGGAAATATTATATTCTTATTAGCCAACACAAGATATTCACTCTTTTTCTAAAACACGTCCAGAAAATCATTGTTTGTTTGATATTCTACATTTACATGTATGTCACAACCGAACCCATATATTATATAGATAATATGTGAACACATAAGGCGCTCATATATGTTTAAATGTTATTTATTGTAAAGAAACTCATATCCACTGGCAATTATTTTACAATCATAAAATCGGGTACATCACTGTATACCATACCTCTTTCCACAATGTACATGTACATGTATATATAAAATAGTATAGTGCTCTACATTAAGAGTAGATAAACATTTGGTAAATTGTACATAATCGGAACCATCGTTCAATCTATCTGTATATTATGTACAATATGATATATGAAAGAAAGCCGACTCCTTTTGTATAATGTGCAACGTTTTATACATAATTTACACGAGTGAAAAAAATCACATGGTATAATACAACATGCATAACAAGAATTTTTCTTGAAAACTCTAAAGTGTAGTCTGGCAGTCGTATACATGAATAAAGTGTGGATTTCGAATGTGAGTATATTGTGAACACATTAATGACAAACGAGATGGTAAAAGTTTAGGCTACTTCAAACACCGAAATTCCATGCCAGGTATTGTTACGTATAAACCACACCACAAACGTTACAGTAATTAGTTTGTTATCCTAAAACAATAGACCAGTTTACTAATGTAATACAATTAAAATATGGATGCTAGTCATCCGATTCTTCCTTCCCATATTCTGATGATGAACTTTGAAATAATGAAATATACATCGCCCTTGAGGACGAACAGTCAAACTGTTCGGAATGTCGAGCCTCGATCTCTCTTCCCTTTCATAACCTTGTTCACCAGACACCAGACACCAGTCCTCTTCAGAACTCCTCTCACGAAATAATACCTCTCTTTAATTTTTCTCCCTCTATCCGCTATAAGTAGTCCTTCATCGGACGAAACTGAAATAATACCACTCTCTCACACCTTGTTTCTATATAATCCACTTTCAAACCCGACGGTCCCATATGGTAAAACCTCAGACTTTTGAATTTAGCCAACGATGTGCTGGAAAATCCTCGTGCAAGCTTTCAGGGTATTCGAAGGCGCTCTTTTGTGTGTGAAGAATTATGCATTTAATCAGATCACATTAGTAAACTGGTCGATTGGTTTGAATAAATAATAGCTAACACCGAGTGTAAAAAATATGAGGTGATATCTACAATTTGACAAACTCACATCACTCTGCAATACATCAACCAACACAAGCAAATTCGTTGCAGAAGACATTTTCATGGTTGTTTATTACATGTATTTATAAACACACTATACCGGGACCCTGTTCCATAAAACTTGTGCCATTAATAACAACTGCCCCAGATCTACGACATAATTGCTCTTAGCCAATCAAATTTCAGGCTTTTTCATGAGCTTTTTATCATGCTTAGAACCTGATAGCGATGACAAGATTTGTGAAACGGTGTTCTGTTCTAATTGTGCAACATTTTATCATTTACAATTTTCAGACCCACCAATGGTAATTGAGGTCTGTCTTTTGACAGACGAAATGGAGTTACTAACATTGGTAGGGAGTGATTGAGAGAGAGAGAGAGAGAGAGAGAGAGAGAGAGAGAGAGAGAGATTAAAGAGAAGAAGAAAAAATTGATATAGGGAATTGAGAGAGGGAGAAAGACATTGACATAGAAATACAAGGACAGATAGGAAAAGTGGGGAAAGATGGATACAATTTGTAAATGCTATAAAGGAGTTTTTATAAGGCAGTGACATATAGAGAGAAGTACGAAACTACATGAATGTATACATTTGTTGTGCGAACCCGAACGACTTTATTGGTACAATGACATGGATCAGTTCACACAAATATATAAAATTGATACCCAGATCAGTGTGAACATGTACCTGTCAATACCCCGTTCACACCAACGAGACCGACCCAAGACCGACAACTGACTGAACAAAATATTGAATAACCCCCGAGCGGCAAATAGTGAGTCGATGTGGAGTCAGTTAGGTGATGTGACTATACCCGACTCACACAAACAGAAGCCGACACCAGACCGCTATCACGCCGAACATAATTTAAAATTACTAAATTATTACCCCCCCCCCCCCACCCATGAACAAAATTTGATTGGTTTGGTGTCGGTAAAGAATCGGTGTGGCGGTGTGACTGGGGTATGCAATGTGAAATAAATAGCATGTCGATCAAGGTGAGAAGAGATCAGATCAACATTCTTCAGACATAGTCCGAACCGGCAGACTTCGGAGATTAGTATGATAATAAATATTATATTCAGACTATGTGATTAACATAACGAGAGATACTTAAATTCATGCATGCATAGCTTTAATTAAAAATCTACATCTTTATCAATAACTTCAAGCCTGGGGTCACGATTGTATATGTATCGGGACGTGCGTAATGATTTTAAACTACGTGAACGTTATTTATCGCCTACTTCACACTTTTGTCTGCCTTTTTGTGCGTAAAGAATTACTATTCCACGTACTTTCTCACTACCCGTGCTCATTAAATTTAGCTCTTGGTAACATCGTGGACGGTGTTAAAATCCCGGAAATGCACTCCTTCAAGAAGCAGAACGCGTTCAACTTATCACATGATGGGTTAGTATTTTTCCGTCTCTTAAATAATGGAACTCGCTATCCATCCAAAGGCTACGTGTTAGTTATACGTAGTCCGCGGAGCTCTTCTTGCGTGTATTCAGCACGCACAGTACAGCGCTCGTTTCCCATTGGCTGGTCTAGTTGGGTCACGTGATAACGATAGTTGGCGCCACTAGAGTACGCTTTCACGGATTAGGCAAGCTGTCTCAGACTCGTCCTGTTGGTCATCTACAGAACCTGAAGGTGGAAAGTTATTAGAAATAAAATGAACCATGAAGTGAGCATGCATGAACTTCTGAAACAAGAATTTACGTGGTACAAGTGGTATCTGCTTTGTACCATTCAGAATAATGTAAATCATGCGTGTTAGTATCTTACGAAAGTGCAAATATTATTGCGTGCATGATGTTAACATGAGTATTGGAATGAACTGTAAAATATGTTAAGTGCTTTTTTTCAATGTTAGTTATGTTGCAATGCTACTTGTGTCAACAATCATTTTATATGTAATGATAAGTGTTCTCAAGTGAACAAAACAAAATTTAACAGAATTGAAAAAATATTTCTAAATCACCAATAATATTATCTTTTGTTATATCCAGGGTTTTGTTCTCCTGAAATTGCATTAGATTTCAACGTTGTCACTTTATTAATAATGATTAAAACATGGAAGAATTGCTCAGCACTGAAGAAAAAATCATGGCAAGAAATGAAAGATATCATGATGAATATGATAAAAACATTGTCCAAGCAAGATCGCCGGTTCAGTAAATATAAAGCTGCTTTCCTTGATTTTCATATACCTTGTTCATTCAATCAATTAACATTAGCAAAGGCATAAAATCACCATACATAAAGGATTAGACATGCAACACATGATTAGATAATGATCATGCAACGAATTAAAAGTAAATAGAGGAAAAATGATATTCATGCAGCAGATTTTGCTACCCATTCACCATGCGAAACTAAAAGCAAAGCAAATTTCAAGACTCATATTTTTACTCGGTACAGCAGTATTATTTTATTGATCATCAATTGCATTCTTCCTAGACAAAAGCACATTGTAGAAGTAAAAAGGCAATGTGTGTATATTTAGCTATAAATACATTGTAGCTTCATATTCAATTGGTATGTTAAACATCATATATCTATGCTTCAATATTCTTGCTCTGAAATGATAATAATTCGCCAGACGTGAAAAAGGTTCAAGTCACATTAGTTCTATAAATCAATACTAAATGCGTGAATATTGAGTTTGGAATACGAGGAGCAAAATGACTATTGTTTATTATGTTGAAAGGTAAATTCCGTAAATGTTAACAATTTTATGCCACTAGGTAGACTCGATATATTGATGCGATTTTCAGTTTAGTACCTTTAAACGTTACTACATAAATTCATGGCAGTGTGTTATTGTAATTTATGGTATGATTGATATTTTTCAATGGATGTTTGAATGTATTTGTTTTTTTACATAAATTGTAGTCTTTGAAATATCTATGAAATACTAGTATTTTTGACAAAAGGGCAATACGAAATATCATTTACAGCCAAATCAGAAAATGTCTACTTAACAGAAATGTTATACTGGTAAAGGAAAAAAGTATTCTGCAGAAACATGTACGTCAGAAAAGAATTTGACGCATCGCTACACATGTAAAAGAAGTAACAGTTTTGATTTCATAAGACAGGAGTAAATAAGACATTAAAATAGAGATTGCTCGAAGAGGAAAGGTACTAAATAAGCTCGTGTGTTAGTATAGAAGAAGAAAACAGTGATATCTGGAGCTGCAAGAAAGAAAACTGTACTTCTGATTATATTTATTGACAAAGTCGGCACTAAGAGATAGATCTCGTGGACCTATGGCAGAACGCAAGCTGAAAGAAAGGGAGATCACTTAAATATATATCCTTTGATCTCGCATCGACAATCAAAAGTTTACATATATAATACCTGGCAGAGAAAAATTGTTGGAGTGGGTATCTATAATAGTGGAAAATAATGTGGGGATAAAAGGTAAAGTGGTGATTCAGCTATGAAAAGTGCATCTCGAATATATACAATTCAGTGTTTAAGTAGGAACAATATCGTATGAATATACTTAGATGTAACTGGGGTTTTAAAACAGTCAGTAAATCGTCATGAATCATGTTTAAACCATTTATTCACATAAACACGCGGGGAATAAAACAATACAAACTTGTCTTGGCGTGGAAAACAACGACAATAATGCGATTTTTAAAATGTTAATATGCATGTATGAATGAAAGCAAACTTTCTCGTCATTTTCGTTTATTTTTATATTCTATATTTTAATTTTGTATAATTATTTTTGGGCATTTATGACCAGACCAAGTCCTTACCGACTTATAACAGACAAAAGCTTTCTATGTCATGAGGTGCTATTCATTGTACGGTCATTTTTTGGTAACCTCATGTGACATTCTCTATGATATTACAAAAAGTGTGATATTACCTCAAAGTTAGAATTTATTGTTATTGAGATTCGTCTTCATTGATACATGCATAACCTAGTTACATTTCAATAACAAATATATGAAATAACGTGTGGCATTTTTTGCGTTGTAAACTGAAATTATAGAAATCAAAGGGGCATGCAGGAATACATTTAAACAATTTTGTGTGGATCAAATACTTCAATATATACAATCAGGCTTACACATGAAATCTAAGTTTTTAACCAATTATTGATAACAGTAGGGGAAAATAAAAACAAATTAGACTAGCTTCAAACATCCGAGCACTTACTTATTTTTGCAGGTTTCCCATCTGATTGGTTATTTCAAGGAGAGAGGTCAAATTCGTTATACTGTAGTTGCTATGACGAACGTTAATAATATAAATCATACAACTTAGCTTCGTTTGTAACTAAAGATGATATAAATAAGGCTATATTGAAATATTTCTATTATGATTTATTGCACATTAGATATATTTTATTCTGTATGCCAATGAAGTGATAGATAACAAAAACTTTCCAGGCAAAAGGTATGAATACATTCAATCTACATATTGTGAACGCACACTAAGACCACTAGAACACAGATTTTGTATTTGCTTTGATCAGTAAGAAAGTGTCACCCTTCAATTGATACAGAGCGTTTCATCATTCCAGAAAAAAAGCTTTCTAAAATAATGTTCATTTCATTTTCCTCATCACTTCGACAGTCCTTCCTCATAAAAGGACTACAATGTGTCTCAAAATGTCCCCTCACGCGTATTATTTTCTACCTCTACAAGATATCCTCAGCAATGTTAGACTTTTCTTTCGATCCAACTTTATTGCATGCACCCGCCTCTTCCGGGTCCCCGACAAAACCTTGATTGCACTCAGAGGTCAAATCTATAAGCTCACCCGGAAGTGATATATGGCTGTTCCTGGTTCCGCCTGATGGCGAGTTTGGCTTCTTCAGCCCGGGTTTCACCATGTTGATGGCGTCGCCGTTCTCCGGCCCGCGCAACGGCGCCGTGACGTTGTTATTCGCCGGATCGTCCTCGTCCAAATACACACTGTTGACGCTGTTGGCGGTTAAATTGTTTTTAAGGGTTGATTGTCGTTGTACCGGAGGCGGCCGATGTTGGTCCTCTTCTGGTTCGGGCTGGTGATGGTGTGGTGAAGGCGATAAGTCGATGATTTGAGCTTCTGTTCTGATGTCGTCCGAGTCACTGCTTCTCCTTTCCGTTTTGCCCTCCACCCAGTATGTGACCATGACTCCTTTGCCCTGCATGAATTGAGAAACCATTGATGATCTTTGGTCTCAGGAACTGACAACTACCACCTTGGACAATCATGTACCCACATCTTCACACAATCCACCTTGGATGTTAATATAATAATGTACTCCATCCTATGAGTGGAGACATTAACGATTGAAGGGGGAAAATGTGTGTTTAATTTATATCGATTTAGTGACAAGAGACTTGCAATGTTGTTTTTTTCTTTTTCTCCCCCCCCCAAAAAAAAAAAAAAAATCCTGTCTACTTAGTGCTAAAAGGCGTCGTCTCGTAATATTTTAAATAAAGATAACGCCCCTTGTGGCTTTAAACCGATCTTCAATATTGGGGCGTCTCGAAACTTTGTATTTTTTCATTGTACTTTCTTTTTGTTTTCCTTTTTTGAGGGGAGGGGGCGGACTGGACCAATACAAAATGTGGTCTAGACTCTCCCCCCCCCCCCCCTCGGGTTGAACATTTCGAACATGCCAACAACGGTCTAGCGTATAATATAGTAGGAATGAAGGGGCGTTGTAAAATCTCTACATTCCCTTAATTAAACGACACCCCTGTTGTTCTGCTTACCTTGACGGGCATCTCCCCTCTCTCTCTGATGGTGTAGCCACCAAGCTCTTCTAAGAGGTTCACACAAAAGTCACTTGCTTGGATTTTCAGCGCTATGCAGTAAGGAAAAACATAGAAGAGGAATTTCAAAGATTAAAGGTATTGCAAAGTTTTGGAATAATTATATATATGTATTTGGATGCCTCTGTGGATGTATTATAAGCACTAGAAAATTTGGCCCCTTAAAAACTTCTGCTTTCGAGAAATTGAATAATCAAGAATTTAACGGTGCTCCTGGTAAATTTCGAATATTTCAATTAGCGCCTTAGATCATTCCATGAGAGCTGCGATCATGAAAATCTCAGAATATGCAGTTCTGATATATAATTTTCAAACGGGAATAGCAAATTGGTCGATTGTAGTCAAGAAACATTGCTTTAAAGCTAAAGTAATATTAGTCTTGAGAGGGAGCTATACAACATAAAGAAATTTCATCACTTTAGACTCGATTTCAAGTGCGACAACGATCATTGAATATTTTAAAATCGCGTATGCTTCTAATATGTTCATTTCAACCGAATTCATGACCCCATACCAAAGCTTTGTAAAACCTTTAAGAACATGTATTCTAAATTCAGTTTTCGAATAACAATAAACATTGTCTTGACTTAATTGTAGAGATTCGTCAACAAAAATTGTGTACTTAGGATTTTACTCTGATTTAAGTGCAATTTATTTCTAAATGTATAAAGGATGCACGTTAAGGTTCTGAACATTATTTAGAGGAAATTATTCATGCAATTAACACAGGTGACTAACTTAATCACTTTGGTTATGTTTGTAATAGTTGTGAAATATGACGAGGCCAGGTCAGTAAACCGGTGCATACATTTTACACAAAGGTTATTCTTGTCCGAGGCTTGCCCGACAAAGCCACAAGTCATTTACGCAGACAGGATTCCTAGTATTTAAGTTCATTCACTAAGAACAGGTTAAGGGAATAATACGTCAACATGTTCAAACGAAAGAAACGTCCATACATTTGAATATATTAGTGAACTGGTCTATTGCAAAGGTAAATGGTGTCACGAGTATTCACGTTAATGTTGCTGAAGTCACTGAACCAGATGAGTGATTCCATACAAATAGTTTTTCGAAATGTTTGCAGACATGAAAAAGGACTGCGTACGTACACGCACCCAACATGAGAAATGGTCAGATTTAAGATGGTTGCTTTCAACGTTGCGTGAGCTGACCCTTACCCAAGCCATAGCAGCGTCAGTGTATGTCTACTATTCATCAAACAATCGTTCATGAAACGTTAAAACATTTGTGAGATGGTCTATGTTAGAGAACATCTTAAGTCACCACATTAATCTTACTTCAGCTTCTTAGGATATAGTTGACGGACTCCTAATTTCATCACTGTTTTGAACCTTTTTTTGCATCAACTACAATCTGGAGTATCGCTGCGTTACTATGGTTACTTACTTACTACTGACTTACTGTAACTCAACAACAGGATCTGGAGTTTGATAATTTGTTGTGCTTTTATGTGATTTGGAATTTCATGATGGATATAGATGCCGTTTAACCAGATATGAGGCAGTACCAGATTCTCGTCGGAGTCAAGATCGTTACATACCAGACGGTAAGTGAAAATAAGATTTATATTACAGAAACAAGGTTCAAATCATATTAAGAGCCTATCTTTCAAAAACATAGACGTATTTGTTGAAATTCGATTTTGAATTGCATATAAAATTGAACATTTACATGATTAGGGCCAAAGTTTACGTCTGTATCAACTTTAATGTGTGATTGTGTATACCTTCTCCTGTTGACTCCATCCTAGAGGCTGTATTGACGGTGTCTCCAAAGAGACAATACCGAGGCATCTTCAGGCCGACTACTCCCGCTACTACTGAACCTGCAGTAGAAACAAAAAATAGAAAATATTGCATCAACACCACCATTACTTTAGTCCATATGAACCATTTAATTCATCGTATAGTATCTGGATACGTTTGAAATAATGAACGGAGGAAAAGAAATGATTATAGCTGTTATAAGTATCTGTCTATCTGTTGTGAAGAAAGGATGAGTGATAGGGAGAGGGATGGATGGATGGAGAGAGAGAGAGAGAGAGAGAGAGAAAGAGTATGAAGAAACAATTGACATGAGACAGAAACAAAGAAGAATACGGCAATATTTGTTGCATGATAATCGCGCCTTCGTGTTAATCAATGCATACAATACAGTAATATTTAGATTGTAATCTAAAGCTTATTTATGCAAGATAATGAGAAAAGTAAAATTTATTACCCGAATGGATTCCCGCTCGAATCCTTAACTTCTGATCCTGCCGATGAGGGATGATAAACTCCTCGCATACTTCGACGAGATCGAGGGCCATGCTGGCGATCTCTCCCGCGTGCTTGTGTCCATTCTTCTTCGGGACTCCCGATACCACCATATCTGAAAAAGTAGTAGAAGTAGTAGAAGTAGTAGTGGTAGGAGTGGTAGTTGCAGTAGCAGGATTAGTATTAAAAGTAGCAGTACTAGTAGTAGAATTAGTAGTAGAAGTAATAGTAGTATTAAAAATAGTAGTAGTAGTAGTAGTCGTAGTCGTAGTAGTAGTAGTAGTAGTAGTAGCAGTAGCAGTAGTAGTAGTAGTAGTAGTAGTAGTAGTAGTAGTAATAGCAGTAGTAGGACTAGGACTAGGAGTAGCATTAGTAGTAGTAGTAGTAGTAGTAGTAGTAGTAGTAGTAGTAGCACTGATAGTATTTTTACGAATACTGCACATACGGGCAATAGTTGTACCTGATTATTGGATGTGTTAATTTTCATAGATGTCTAATCTGTAGCAAGGTCCATTATCCAAAATGTTAGTAGACAATCTGGGCAACTGGAACGAAAATTCCTCAATCAGTGACACGGGGACAAATAGTAGAGGGAACAATCACAAACAAACTTACATGCATCGCCAATGGTTTCGACTTTGTAGACATCATAGTTGTCAATAATGGAGTCGAATGTGACATAGAGTTTGTTGAGCAGTGCTACCACCTCGTAGGGCGAGCTCGTACTGGAAAGACTTGTGAAACCTACAATATCGCTGTAAAATTTAAAAGATAGGATTTAAATCAGGATGAAAATATTGGATAGATTTAGTGATTTCAATCTAGTTTGTAATTACAAATGCATGTGCGAAAGGTCTTCAGCTCGGTCAATTTGTTTCGTGATGAAACGATAAACGATGTCCATAGCAGGAGATAATGTTAGTCTAACTATCGAATCACAAATGGCGTTATACAGGGTTGCATGCTTGCACCCGTTTTCTTCAACCGATCTACACTGAAATATAACGGCACGTTACTAAGGGACTAGATGTAGGATATAATTATACGGAGTTGAGAAGCTAATACTTGTGTGTAGACATTCACATTGGGAGCTATTTGGGCCAAACAGAAAATCAAAGTTGTGGCACATTAGCGAAGGTCCCATGAATAGCTCAACATTTCTGAACCATTAAAAGTTCCAACTCTGTGCATTTTAGAATAAGCAGTCTGAAAGTAATATATAAGCTCAGAGTTGTGTTTCTTTTGGTAATTAAAGCCATTGCAGTCACCTGGCATATGATAAATGTGTTAAGTGACATAGACACACTATAGGGTTAGTCCCATAGTCCAATTGTCATTATATTTTCAATACACGGTAGTATCTAAACTAGAGTCACTATCCTATGTCTTACTTACCTGAAGAAAATAGAACATGATTCATATTGTTCCGCCTTAGCTATGTTGCCTTGCCTCAGGTCGTCTGCTACAGGCTGTGGTAACATACCTACAGGGCGAGACAAGATAGTGGGCTTAAAGATAGAGTTGAGAACTGGCCCGTAGACGAAAGACTTCATGCATGACTGATTGTCAACGAAACGGAGTTAAGTCTTTTCGTTATTCCGTTTGTTGCTACGGCAGTCAGCCAGTGAAAACGAATTTGTTTAATACAATTACGGAAATGCAAGCACTACTTTAAACAAACAGAACATTGTTATTCCTAGCTCATTTTCCTTATTGAGGTGTCATAGGAAATGGCAGATACTCGACTTTCTGGAAATGTGATTTTCTCTTTGAAATTCAGATACCCTACACCAAATGACTTTTTGGTTTCCTCTCTTCAAATTAAATGTAATCACTCATGCGTGAAATATGCATTATACGAGTAGTATCAAATCAAAGAGGAGGATCTAATCTTTAAAAATATGTGTCATTTGTCAATTATAATTGTGATTAAGTTATGATTAAACATCGATAATTCTCGGTTTCGTTTTTTCTGGGACGCACTGTATATTTTGAGCGTTGAGGGAAATATTCAAACATAAAACGGAGACATGCGGTCTTTTTCCGAAATAAACAAAGCTCTTATGTCCACACTTCAAATGTACTCACTGAATTTAAAATACTACATGTAAATTAACGAAACCGCTCCTAAAATAAATTTGAAACTAATGTCATCTTCAACTTATTAACCGCTCCTTAGCATATATGCGGTACACGATTATTTTATTGAAATATGAGGCTTGCGGTCCAACATGATATTTCTTCTGAAATTTGAATGATACGGCATGCGGTTGATAATTTAAAAATGGCCTTGAAAGCCGCACTTCACTCTCTTCGTCATATCGAATTACACTGTTATCAGTCTGATTTCAAAACGTAGGCTTCAGAGATAGAATTGAAAAGGAAAATGTCTCAACAACAATAACAGTAATAGTATCAAACTAAACTAGATATACAGACGTATGGGCATGATACAGAAAAATTCACCATTTTCTCTCAGGGCACATTTCGTCCAAAGTAGGGTTAGGATTGCCATGGGGTTTTGTGTTCGGTTTAGGGTTAGGGTTTGGGTTAAGGGTAGGACGTTCGGAATTCGGTCAGTGTAGGAATTTATCGCTGGGCAATTTTTGCAGGAGCATGTGTGGTGCAAGATGAATTCGGGGACCGCGGTATGCACTTCAACACATCCACAAACTTTCTCGTGCATCAACCATCCTCGAGACCTAAAGTGAGATTTTAACAGGTATTACTAATAACTTTATAACAGCTTTCTCAATAAAGTAACAGAGACACCAGGAGGGTTAATTCCCGTTTTGGTCTACAACCAGTTCGTCTACTACCCAATTGGTCTATTCCCCTATGGTCTAGTCTAATAATCATTTCGTCTTCCTAACATTTGGTCTAATGATTATTAGACCAAATGGGCATCAGACAAACTGGTAATTAAACTAAATTAACAATAGACCAAATAGCTGGTAGACCTATTGGTTGTTGAGCAGACGACAATTGACCGCTAGGGGAGCTACTCACTGTAAAGTAGTCTATCTGTCTTTTGCTTCTCCAGCAATAAATCTTGCGTCCTCTCGGCGACAATCGACTCGAGATGTCGTGAGTATTTCTCCATGAGCTGCATCATCAGATCAACAGGACTCAGCTTGCTCGGGTTGATGCTGTGCAAGGTCTGTCGGATCTGCGAAAAGTGAGGGCGCTGTGCGGGGTTGATGTTCCAACATCGCTCGATCAGCTGCGATAACCAGAAAGAATCAAGATCAAGACATTATTCTCCAAACCGGACAATATTTATTCAGTGGCAAATCAATGGTCGGGACAGGGGAGAAATGATTGTGTCTCCACGCAGTGGCGGAATTGATGGGCACAAACGGCCTGTGTCCCTCCTTTTTAAAACCTAATTTGCATCAAATCAAAATGACCCCTGGACTGATAATTTCTAGAACTTAGCCCCACCCCTCCCTTTTTTATTTAATTTTACAAGATCCTAGTTCAACCATTGCCTAGCTACCCTCCACCCGGTCGGTTAATCAACCCCAGGGTCTGCCGAAGTCCTGTCACTAATGCAATATTTTCCCTCGTTCATTTAGCCAATCGTGGCAACGTCAATATATTAGCCAATTTAAGTCATATTAGCCAATAAAATCGGTCACTTTGACCCATTAATTGCAAAGGCTCGAAATAAGAATCCAATCAACTTATCATTGTCATTGGCCACACCCTTCGATGATCACTTACGCTAAGGTAGTCCGCCGGACAGGGGCACCTTTCATCGTCAGTGGTATCTCCGATTTCTAGATCTGGTAGGGGCGGTCTCCACGCCTCATCTAGCGGGTAATCATCTTCTGGTATCACCTCGTTTCGGGATGCTATCTCTACCAGAATGACTCCATAACTGTGGTATCAAGGGGAAATGGATGAGAAAGAGATGGAGTGAGAATAAAGCAGGATTAGCTACAGAGACACTTTACCAAAACTAACCAGCAATAACGTAGCACTTAAAATTTGTATGATTCTGTATTTATTCCGAGAACTTAACAATAACAAATCATTCCATTACTGGCGTTCTCAACGGAGTTTTTCGACTATTCGGTCCTGCCCCCCCCCCCTTTCCCCGTCGCCAAATGACGCTAATAATGGTTCTTGTGTTTTATCCAGGCCGTTTCAGACGGTTTTGAAGACAGTACATAATATACATCCATAGCTTATGAAACAAGGGTTCTATAATCTACATGTAGACCTTGTGTACTGGGAAATACAAATTCTTTTAATTGAAAATCTAAAAGCCCTTTTTCATTGGTTATAAATTGGATTTCTCTTAGCAGCTTGTTAGCAAACTTAACTCTCCGCCTTCTCCGGCCAGGTATACCTCAGTCACACCGTGAAACCTCATTCAGACCAACTCCAGATCGACCAATTCTTGGCGATTGGGGGTAATTTAATTGAGCGTTCGTCCTGTTGTCGGCCTGGTGTCGGTCTCGTCGGTGTGACTGACGTATTACGCCCTTTACGTCTTCCGATCTAGTTGAAGTTTTAGGCTGTTTTGCATACCTGTATACATCCGTGGCTTGTGTAACGAGGGTGTACGTGTTACTTCTGTTTTCAGGAGGAAGGTAGACCTGCATGGCTTTCGATCTGTACCCTCCTGCATTTGATTGCGATCCTTCCTGGTTTCTGAATGTTGTCAGCCCGTAGTCTAAACAAATAATTAAATAATGATGATAATGATATTTATAAGAAATAGACAGGACACTATAAAACGGGCACAGACATGACCTAAATAGGAAACATTACATACCGTACAAACATCTCTTTGAATATGGTATTAAACGGGTTTTCTAATGATAATCACATGGAATAGTGCTAGACATACTTATGGAATGTGAGTTTACCGATTTCTTCGTCGTCTAAAGCCTTTTTATTAGCTTTTCGCATAAAGTATTGTCCCTTTTTGTTGATCAGCTTTTTCCATATCGAAGAAGTGTTTGGCCACATTTTCGGCACTGGTAATTCTTTTTTCCCAACCATTTTGACCTCTCCCTGGAGGTAATTCCACATCAACTCCATGAAAACATATCACAATTCCTGCATTTGCATTGCACATAAGTGAATACGACCTGTATTATGACCTTGCCTTTCCACCCTTGATAATTCAAACCAAACCCAACCAAAACAAGTCAACACCCTATACACGACATATTTGAAGGGGAAAAAAATGATCCCCATCAGCAAAAGAACAAACGTCCCAACTATATCTCTTTCTGTTATTCTACTCGGTTATTAAGTTCGATTCCCAGTCCAGCTAGGTTCTAAGGTTTCTGGTGCCCGTTTCACAAAGCCTTTTTTTCATTGACAAGTGACAAAAATCAGTGACAAGTCTGCTGATAACCAATCAGATGCCAGGATTCAGTAGCTTATAACAGTAGCTTGTAACTTGTTATTGATATCAAGTTTTATGAAACTGGGCCCTGGTGCCCTCCATCCCAAGACCAACCTGCTATCTTCACCACCCATCTGTCATCCACAACGCAATTTGATGACGTCAGTTTGCCATGGTAGAGCTTGTTGTTGTGCATATAGTGCATCCCCCGGGCTACGTCCATGCAAAATGAAAATCTGGTAGAGAGAAACGGGAGAAGATAGAGAGAGAGACAGAGAGAGAGAGAGAGAGAGAGAGAGAGGGAGGGAGAAGAGCAAAAATCGATATGACTTCTTCGAATTTTTGGCAAAAGAAACTGAGCAATGGAGAAGAGGATATCGGTTCGTACTGTAAGGCAGTGCCTATAGAGTATGATATAAACGGTACCATTGTTTACATTTGCATCTTATTCTTTGCTCAATTGATAAATAAAGCATTATTATGTGTGCAAAAATGGCTGTTTCAATTGTTGTATGGTGCAGGGCTATCATAATATATGGTGTGTAAAACAACAATAGAGAGATATATTGTTGAGGTTAACAACAAATTTAAAAATCCTTAATATCGAATCAACAACGATTTGCATTTTTGTTGATTCAAAATATTTTCTACTTTCAAAACAATGACTTTGAGGTTGATTACTGTTTTTACTACACAACGGGTGATGTATTATTACATTTTGAATTACAACAGTTGAAGAGAAACTGTACACCCGATAATATATTCATGGTAAATTTAAAAGGCCCGATTCTGCAATTTGTAGTTTCCAAACAACCTTTATATCGGTCACGTATACTTGACACAGTTTTTGAAAGCTTTTTATCCATGTTGAACCGCTTGTGCGGTTTTGTTTTATTTATTCCAATATTCGAATTCTTTTATCTTGGGGCTACGATTTACTCTAAGCTCCCTCCTGATTTCGAAAGCGGGTGCCTACAATTATTTTCGTATCCTCCTGCACTCGATGTCAACATTTAAAATGCAAATACCAAATAATAGCCTGGAATCGATGCTGTGGCTGAAATCGCTCCATCACAATATGTTTGGCTGCGGTCTTGTGTAGATGTATAATACGTAAATTACAATAGAATTTGCTTCCAATAAATCAGTTATGATGGACATAATATCCCATATGTTTGGATACACATCTCTGAATGTCACCGAATATGTTAAATCAGAAGAACGCATGGATGTGAAATAATTATATGTTAATATTGCGTTTCTTACCAAGTAGCGGGAAATATTTACTTCCCCGTACAAAGCAATATCAGAATGGTAGATTAGTAGTAGGAATCATGACGCATAGCTACAATACTATGAACTAACCAGAGCAAACAAATACTAACATTGTTAAAGGCATCGTCTAACAATGTTAAATATGAGATGCACGGCCCTACGTGTTATCAGTGTCTGTGATATGGTGTAATATTAAAACCCTAAACAAATTGCGCTTTAAAACGATCAAGAAGTGGCTCAAAAAGTAAAAATCTTTGAGTGACCGGTTTTACCATACTCGTTTTCCCAAATAGACTGTAATGTTATGAAAACTGTTAGGAAAACGCACAATTTGGTTTCGATTTCCAATCATAAATATCATGATAATCAGACAGGCGATAGGTTTGTAAAAGTCACGGGGTTCCTGACTGACCTAAAGGTTTATAATTATCATTGTGGCATGAGCTAAATCCAGGATTTTGTTTCAGAATTTGAGACAAAGTTACCGAATCCCTTTAAATGAAACACAATACTCTTGTAACTGATTAGTTCTTCTCGCAGGATTATCGTGACATGTTGTAAAGTGAACTCACCTAAAACTCCAGTTGAGGGGCACATCTTCGTTTAAGAGGACGTCGGAGAGGGCGCCCTTGGGGCAATATTCTGTGATGATGGAAACGTTCGGCACCTCAATGCACCCTCCGGCGAACTTGCAGAGGTTCGAATGCTGTAGGTCACTGTACAAAAAGATAGGAAGTCGGAAATTTAGTAGCCTTTATACATAGTGAAACCTAGAAACACCAGTCAACACCAGACGTATTCCTTAAACGTTGGAGATTCGCTTGGTATTCGAACAGCGGGTGGAGATGAACATGTTAATCGGCTGATAAAAGTGTGTTAGTATTCTTTTTCCTCCAAATTAAAAGTATTTTTTAAAGGGGCGGGCTTACGCCAGCTTCTGGATACACCATTGTGGGCATAGTAGGGTATTATTGAAAGTGTATGAGACGGTGTTTATAACATTGCTACAATGATTCAAAACGCAGATTGAAATAATAGCAAACAACATCGCTGTATTAAATCAAAATTAGTCATTATGTAGTCGTATGACAAAAATGAGCAACAATTCTAGTCATTTGTAGACAAAGGGTATTATGTTAGTTATTGTAATGTGTGGTTCCATCTAAATTTAATATTTGTATTTGTATAATTGTGCTTCTCGAAAAAATAAACCTATATTAATGTACGCCATTTTCAATAGGCATTGTGGCGTGCGCCTGTTATCCAGCTCACAATGGAAGTTACAAGCTGATTCAGCCGAGGACGCAGGCTCGAAACTGAGTCACGTCTTTCGGATGCTGACGTTTAAAAGTAAATAATTATATCTGATTGATAGACGTCCGTAAAAACCCAATACACACATGATCATAATGTTGGCAAATTGAAGAGCAAAATAAGTGCATGAACGAAGAATATAGGCTATGAGCTGTAAGAATTAAGATTTAGAACACAACGTTTTGCATTATCTAAAGTAGATATGAACATCTTCATCTCGTCCTCTCCAAACCAACGCCCATGCATGCACCCGGTTCGATAAATGGATACATGACTTTACTGCGTTGCACCTGCAGGTGACGTGACTTGGCACATGAAATCCATTTTGGATGTGTTTGGATAGTCAAAATCGTATCTTGTCTCTGGACGTATGGGGCAATTAGGGGTCACAGAAGTCACATTAGAGGCACGTTCGTTCATTCATTCATTCATGGAAGTCGGGTCAACATATCCCCCATCCTGTCTTCTCCCGTTTCCAGTTCATCCAAATAGGTCGATAGTGGGCGCACTCCCTTATCCAAACATTGTCCTTTCCATTCAAGCAATTCCTCACGACATCTTTCACTCCCCTCATTCAGCATGTTTCTTTCATTAATAGAGGGAAGAAAGAACGCTTCCCTGGAGGGGACGAATATATTCCCGGGCGATAGAGATAGTGGGCAGGTGTGCGGGGTAGCCGAGCGAATGTTGATTATGACTGGGTTTTTTGTCTCTCTCCATCTCTCTCTCTCTCTCTCTCTCTCTCTCTCTCTCTCTCACACTCTCTCACTCTCTCTCTCTCTCTCTCTCACTCTCTCTCTCTCTCTCTCTCTCTCTCTCTCTCTAACTCTAGCTCTCTCCCTTTCGCCTCCCGTTTCGCGAAGCCACCATACACCTTCGGAGGGCGGAAGGCATCCCAAATTTGGCCGGGTTATTATTTTTGCCTCGGGTGTTTACAGGAGGGCAAGGAGGGTAGGGGCATGCACATTTGGGAAATGGCGCGTGTATCGAATTGAAAGGACGGTGCCTGATCTAGGTGAAGTGAAGTGCTAGAAGAGAACCCCCCCCCCCCCTCCCCTTCATTATGGAATTTTACATTACAGATACCATGAATGTAGATAATACAGTAAATGATGAGCAGTCATTTATGAAATAAGGATTTGACCCCAATCCTAAATAAATAGCCCCCTTCTTGATGTAGCTTTGTCCTTATTTGGAAAGGGTGAACAGAATATATGAATGAATCTTTTACACCGTGTATACATATAGACTGAGATCGAGTATTGTGTAAATAAAGCATAGTGGCCTGTCCTTTAAAACAGTTCAAACATGTTTTCTGTGATGGTGACGAAGGGATGGTGGGGGGGGGGGGGCGAGAGAGATGTTGAAGGTTCGAGGTCAGAATCTCTTGTCCACGATGTTATGACTTCCTACAAATAATTCATCGTAATGTCAAAGGACAAAATGTAACGTCAGCGAGTTAACAAACAGGTGTCACTTGAGTTTTATTATCACGTATGTTTCCTGTAGTAACATTGATTTGTATGAATACCCTACGTCTGCTGTAAATTGTATTCACGAATAATTATTTTCTTTTTAAAACTACAATGGATTTCGTGAATCGTTTATGTCCTGACATCGACTCATCCATCATGTGTTTGAAAGATGCCACAACTGAGTTCCATGTTATTGAGTTTTGATTGAGCAGTTAACATGTTCTTTGATAACCCAGGGTAATACATATGGGCACATCCTAGCAGATTTAAAAAAATTATCGATGATATTTTTACTATGTAGTATACGTGTTAGTAATGCAAGTAGTGCTGTAACATCACGGATATCTCCAATTCCGTTTAACCGCCTGTCAAAACCGGACGGTTTTCGGTTAAACGATTTATTTAAAAAAAAAAAAAAAAAAAAAAAAAAAAAAATCTTTTTTTTTTTTTTTTTTTTTTGCCGTGTGAAAAAGCAGGAAGGTGATTTAACTAAAGGCGCCGATTTGTGTTTGTGAACTAGTCACAATTAATAGTAACAATGTCGTTTTATAATAATGTGTAAGATCATTAAAGTAAATTAAAAACAGTAGAGGACCTAGGATAGAACCTTGTGGTACACCATGTGTTAAACTTGGATGAATATATATTGAGATCTATTACAAAGATTACTTTCAAACCAAGATGACAGACAAATTGGAGTGTTGTTCTAGTTTCCAAGTGGTAAGTCATCACACCGATTACTGAGCTGGGAGACATTGCCAGGCATAGTGCCAGGTGGAGGGGCATAAATCGAAACTTTAAAAAAAAAAAAAAAAAAAAAAAAAAAATTATAAAAAAAAAATTATAAAAAAAATTATAAAAAAAAACAAAAAAAAAACGGGAAAACGAATCCGTCCAATTGGAAACGGAATCCGCCATGGGCGGTCGGATACCGGACGGTTAAACGTTTGACTACAGCACTAAATGCAAGGCATCTTAAGCTATACGATTGATGGCGTTATCATATGTCGGTTAACTTCTTATCAAAGACATGCTAGATTTATGATCTTCCAACAGTTTATAAATGCAGTCTTGATGAGAACACTTCGTCTGTGAAATGACGAATTCAGAAATTCTTTTATTCTTCATATACCAAATAATAGTTATATAATGTCGAAGTTTTTAAATTAATCCTTTTCTGATAATGTGACTAATACTCAATATATATTGTTGCTTTTCCTCCATAAGAATGTTATAGGTTCAAAGACAGAAGTAAGGCGTAGGGATCCCTTTCTTTTAATGTGATTAATGCATATACTATGTTCTCTCGGAGCAACTCAACCCAGGGTTCATCTTAACACACGATTCTGAACCATGAGCGATCACCTCATCGTGATACAAAAGGGTTCGCGGTGTTCGGAGGAGGACCATTAATGTAATTAGATGGCAGATTAAATACGTAAGTGCCGAAGACATCTACCAGAAATGCACTTAAGATCAATCAAAGGAACGGATTAAAATGCAGGACTTGGCAATGGATTGTAAAGGGTTCGTTTTCTACTCCGACCCATGATACATCTTCTTCTCGTTCTGTTTTATTTCTAGGGTTCCCATGAATTTACATGAACATGCACATCCTGTATTATTATTATTATTATTTTTTTTTTTTTTGGGGGGGGGGGTCTCTTCGGGGGGGGGTGTCTCCTCTACTTCATCTTTCTATTGAAGAAACTTGTAAGCAAGTGGAGTAGAGTAGAAGGTTAAGTTTGTGGAAAACAAACTGTCTGATGTAATTGCTTCAAGGCCTTAAAGTAATGCTTCATACATCGCCTTTTGTTCCTAATGTGGATACATAAGAATTTGATAAACGGGGCGCATTGACAAGTTATAACTCCATTTATACCGTCCTTAAAAAATATTTGAGATCAAAATGTGTATCAATATTATATTATATTGATTTTGATTTGACTCATTGAAAAACTACATTACTTTGACCATTAATACTGATACGTGTGCACAGTATGCTTGAAATAAAGTTGTATATTCTGCAAACTTTGCCGAGTAGTCACAACGCCACTAGAGTAAAAACAAAATATATAAATATATATATATATATATATATATATATATATATATATATATATATATATATATAAATGATGCAGCCATTTGCAACATATTTGTCTTTTTTCTTCTTCAAGTTATATACACACTCACACACACACCACCACCCACATTCACACATACATGGACACGCACGTGTGCACATAAACATACACACATACCCCCATGCATACATCCATAAATATATATATATATTCACTGTTTTCTGTCTCCCTGCCCAGTGTGAACTGCGCTCGCTGGCTTGTATCAGCTCAAAATGTGTACAGCTTGTGTATCATTGCTCGCGTTACGAAGTTATTTCATCGGGACAGAAGATAATGATTACCACTTATTTCATTTTGTCGCCCTGTTGCCCTCGGGGCATTACAGGAACCTACCTTTTCGTTTTTCTTTTATTGCTTTGGGACACTCCAAATACGTTTTAGGTTCCGTCGATATTTAACCGTTTTCCCTCTACTATCATCTTCCATTTTTGTTCCTCGTATCTTAACAGGTAATTTGATAATTTCGATCGATGCACAGTATCATATTTTAAGAGAAGGGACTTTTCCCCAGCGTTATATTTTTTAAAATCGTAATAGGATTTCAGTGTAGGGGGTGGGGAGAATTCGCTATTCGATAGTGTTGTTACATTTTAAAGATGACCAGAACAAAATTGATTGGATTATGCGTTTCAGTGAGAAGAAAAAGCTACTAAGTAGGGCAGGTTCTCGTGAAAACAATCGCTGAGACTTACGAAAAAGTAGCCTAAGGTATTTTTAGTAACATTTTCTTTCATCTGTGGAAATATATGACTCTGCTTTTTTGGGGATAGACAGCAGGATACTGCTATAGACTATTTTCATAATGATGTATTCAAATTTAATGGATAGATCTTTGCTGTGTGCGATATTACAAATCTTTTCATTCACCTGTTATGAGTAATTGTATTTCAATGGTCAGGATGCGAATTCTTTACAATACTTGTTGGTAGGTAGGACACACATTATGGTTGTCCTACATAACAAGACGTAATGATATTCAATTCGCATTTTGACTATTGAAATACAATTATTTGTAAAAAAAAAAATAAAAAAAAAAAAAAGTAAATGAAATGATTTTTAAATTGACACTTAACAAATATTTATGCATTTAATTTGATTACATTACAAAAATGTTCTATTGAACTTGATTTGATTTCCCGCGTTATGATAAACGACTTTGAGATATACAAACGAACTGACTCACGATTCCTTTTTTTCTTAAGTAAATTCGATATAAATAAGGTACTACATCTAAATATTTTATATAATTGATAAGAATGTAATTTCCACAACTCATCGTATTCGGCACATTTGATGTTAATCCGTTACAAGTGACCAACATAATGATTTGGGTTTTGAATCATTAGCCATGTAAGAATAATGCCAACATTAGATGTTTAATTTTGAGCAACAAAATATCTGCTGCAGTTTAATTCTAATATTAAGGGGAAAATGATGGAAAGGCAACATGGTCGAGATAACCTTATCTGCGATGAAAATACAACTTGATATAAATGGAAAACTGAATGTATGTAGAATACAAATATAAAGGAATACAAAGTATTTACCCTTTTAATAGTGCACAAAAGCCAAGTAAACCACCACATTTCCGCACCCCTCCCAATTACAAGTCAACAGTGGTCAAATTTGCCGAAGTTACAGTGACGACATAACATGTGGACTAGACCGGTTCATCTATATAGCTAAGGTGTTGAGCCGTGCTTAATTAATGCAAATTCACATAAGATAATGTCATCAAGTCGATAGCAAGTTTTTATGTCGACAACTTCCGATTTTCAAAGCTTTAGATTTTGAGTTTTCAGATAGCTGATACTCCTCTGACAGACACTAAAATGGCATATGATTGATATTATTGTTATCTATTGCTTATAAGCTTTCCGTTTATATATTATTTAACGTTTTTATTTTTCAGTTCGGATATGGTCTTTAAATATATACCACTGAACGTTTGAGAGGTTGATAAACCCTGCCGTATTATACACGTAGAATGGCACATCGAAAAATGTTTAATGCAGTGTAAAAGGTCAAGTGAATGTCAACGGGAGGGGTATTCGATGTCGGATATTTATTCAAAGATGTGATAGATTGTGAAGTGACAGAAACGGAAAAGAGAAGAGACAGATAGAGATAGAGAGAGAGAAAGAAAAAAGATAGAAAGAAAGAAAAACGAGTGAGTAATGTGATAGATGGTGACATGACAGAAACGGTATAAAGAAAAGGAGAGAGAGAGGGGGATAGGGAGAAGGGGAGGGGTGAGACACGAGAGACGTAGGGAGTGAGGTGAGAGTGAGAGGAAAACTAAAAGTAAAACAAACGAAAGAGAGGGAAGGGAATTAGAGGAAAAGGGGTGAGAAAAATGACAAAATTGGTAGGTGTAGAAGCAGAGAGAATAGGAAATAGAAGAAGAAAAATAGAAGAAGATCGAGACTCCAAACATTCTTGATGTTGATGTTGACAAAGAGATAGGGGAAGGTCTCCAGCCGCATCATGTGTACAAGTCATGTATTCAAATTGAAAATGAAATTGAATCAAGTACCTCGGAGGCATATCTCTACAGAATAGCCACACGGGACAACGGTGCTACCGAGGGACGTATCACTCAATCTCCTGCCAATTTCTTATTCCAAACGTTTCATTGTTTATGCACTGTGAATCCGCAGGATATCAAAAATCCTCCGAAAGAAAATGCATCTTTGGAATACTTAGTCATCCCTCTACCGTACCTCATCCCGATCGTGTTACAATTTTAACATTTTTGAGGAGAAAGGGAAAATGACTTCGAAGGCATTTATTACTTTGTCTCGTTCTGTTGTGCGGAATATATTATATAACCGACACTTGTTGGCTTTCTGAATGTTTGTATCAGGTAAATGTGTACTCGGTTTCTGTCGTAGAAATATAGTTTTTCTCCCCCGTGGCGCTATCGCCGATACACCCTGTTTTGCTGAAAATATCGCGATATGTTGTTTTGTCCACACAATTCATCATGGTAAGTTTGGTTAAAGATAAAGTTGAGTTCTGGTCATGCGATTTGCATTGTGAAAGAAACGGTGTGGAATCGATCAGAAAAAGTCGATCATCTAGCATATAAGTAATGATTGTATGATGATTGTAATTTGTACTATGATTATAATTTGTTTCAAAGAGAAAAGAATAAAAACTGACCATAAAAAAAATAATAAATATTGGTGTGTATTGCAAGGTTCTGGAATAATCAAAATGATAAGAAATTTGGCCAAGTCTTGGTAAAGTTACAAGCACTGTATACAGAAAGATGTGTATGGAACTGCACGAACACGTGGCGTAAAAATCCGTCCCGATTTTTACGATGTTACATGCCATATTTAGAATATGAAGGCATTTGAAGAGCCATACTTTTTAGGGAACATGTTTTATCTGATGTTCTTCCACATTTGCATAATATCAATGATAACGCTCACAAATTATTGTTCACTTCCTCCCAGAACTCAACCTTCTCTTTAATGGGGTGGCCAGAATTACAACAAAAAAAACTTTCGAACATCCAAGGTAAATTCAAATAGGCTGGTGTGTCATCATTTGGAAAGTATGAACGGGACAGTGACACATTGCATAATCAAAACACGATTTCCTTGTGATATACACAATTTGGAAATAGCCCTTTGTTTTGATTTCTCGAAAGTCTTTGAGATCATTTTGGCTCATACAACAGAATAGAACATTGGACTTACCGAACTTGTTTCACTTCTTTTCGAATTCTTTTGTCGAGAGTGAACGAATTTTTGGCGATCATCTTCACAGCTACAGTCTGTCCATTACTAGATTATAATATTTGAAGAAAAAAAGACAAATCATTAATGTTATGTAGATGAAACTGATATGTTTATTTCTTACAATCTTACTGTTCGCCAAGTGTGAGGTTTTGGATCACGTGTTTCCAATATAATCAACTGCGTCTCATATGATTAACTTTCCAATTCCAATTTAAAACAGTCCAAATTCACAATCTCATTTTCCAGACCACGGCAGGGATACGATAGAGAGAAGAGGGGGGAAGGAGAGAGAGAGAGATAGATAGAGAGAGAGAGAGAGGGGGAGAGGAAGAGAGAGAGAGAGAGCGGGAGAACGTGAGGAGGAGGAGGATAGAGATGGTTAGAATGAGAAAGACACGGAGAATATGAGATAGGATGGGGAATGAAACGAGACATAGACGGAGAGAAGAAGTGGCAGAGATTAAAAAAAGACAAAACAGAAAGGAAGAGAGTGTGAGAGAGAGAGAGAGAGAGAGAGAGAGAGAGAGAGAGAGAGAGAGATGGGGTAGAGACTTTATCATCAAGCAAGGATACTGCATCATAAAATCAGTTGTAGGGGGGTATCAGAATGATTGCAATAGTGAAACGTTGGGGGTCGTCGAACGCAAAAATAGAAATAGTAATATAAAGGTAAAAGGAAAGAGATTGAAAGATGGCAAAGCAGAAAAAACAGTCGGTGTGGAGGTAGTGAGGCGAGTCTCAAGGGGTGTAATAAAGAAAAGTGGATATTTTTGTCACCAGGTATATTTGGAAGAGTACATCGCACTTTTGTCGTTCAGTGGCAAGTAGCTAGGCGTCAAGTTTCGTTAAAACTAAATGTCGATGAATAAAAAGCCAGTTCATAGTTGCAGTCTGAGTATGGGCAGATAAAGGTCATTGCAGACCAAAGTGTGAAATACACGGAGACAAAATACTGGGTACGTGCTAATTAAAGTTATGCAATAATTATTCATTTATGCACTACTGATACACAGGTGAAAGTATTCTTTGAAAAGGGAAAACAAAGGCTATTTATGTAGCACCTCCATCGCTGTAGGAGTGATTTTTTTAAATATACAAAGTGGGACCTCTTCATGTCTTGAAGATCTGTGGATATTCTGGGTCAGTTGGGACATGTGCTAACCGTGAACTGGTCTATTGGTTGTAGTTTGCAGCTCTTGTCAATAGCTGTGCGTAACAGTGTCTGTACTGTGAGACTAGGCTGACAGCATACTGCATAGGCTATGTATTTTAGCTGCTCAGGACATAGCCATGCAGAGACTGACATAACTAGGCTCTGCTCAAGGCTTCAGGGATTGTGGGAAATTGTCAAATTAGAATCTCTGTGCGTGCAGAGTTAATAGGTTGCACGCTCCGTTAACATTATCAGTCCCACACATTGACCTCCATTGCAAATATCATCTTTTTATACATGTAGACCCTTAATTTTTTAATCAGGACAAGCTAGTCAATGGTATTCTGTCCCATACCATACATTACTGACTGCGTGTACGATTCTAGTATTTTCGGATAATCATATCCAGTCGAGAGACCTAGAGCTGGGATGAGACCAAATATTAAGAGTAATTACACATTCGATGCCAACATTGTTTTCATTTCCCTATTTCTCGGTAGGATATTGGACGGACAATGACGAAATACCTTGGACTTGTCCACTATTTTGCGCGTCTTGTAATTGTTCGATCTCTCTGGTCTTAAAAAGAGGAAAGTGTTTTTTTAGAAAATACCAATCAGGAGAGTGGGATAACATTTTCTCTGCCAATTCTCCCGCCCAAGAACATTACGAAATCCACCCGGCGCCTGACGACGGTAAAATGCTAAGCACGCTTGGAGGTAAGAACTTGGAAGTATTTGGGCGGGGGAATGCCCGAATGCGAGATCCAGTGTCAGAATGGAGGCTCCTCCTTCACAGTTCAAGGTTGTCTTTGCCCGGGCCACATCGACGACATCGATACTAGATCAACATTACGCTGGGGGAACAAAATGGTACCACGAATGGCAAAGCTATCGTCGGTTTGGTGTCGTTTTGAGGATATCACTGAGATATAAAATGGCTTTAGTAATTAATTGAAGATTGAACACATTGAATCTTTATGGTTTGGTTTTGTTTACATTATTTTATCATGTATGTTTCTTCTTTACATATCTAGGGAGATACTTTATTAATAAAACACTAAATAAATGTAACGATATTATATTTGCATCTTAGCAATCAATCTCATCATTGATAACGAGATGACAATGTCCAATGGTGATGGTGACGATGGATGTCCGATTTGACTGCCTCTTTATGAAACTTCGCACAGACCAACGCCGTAATTATACACTGATTAAGCCACTTGTAGCGAGTATCATTGTAATACTCTACCTTGAGTTAACAAAAATGATCGGAAACTGTATAGGAAACAGCTAACAATATTCATTGCAAGGATTTCTTCTGCATCATCATCATCTGATCATTCCCAACTTCCCATGTACCGTCACGTGTTAATACCTTTCGATAAGAAAGAGAAAAGGTAACCAAGATGGCACCAATTATAACTTACTAGATTCCCGTTTGAGCGAAGACCTGTTTGTGATGTGCTGTATGTACGAAACCGGACACGCTAGAAGCCGATGTGTCGCAGTCTCCCCGAATACTGATGACACTCCCGCCAAAACCGCGCTGACCAGTGTCTGAAAATAAAATGGTAATTACAATTTTAGAAAATGTATTTCTTTTAATCATAAATAATCCTCCTGTAAACAATGGCTTTATATTGAGATCATTGAAATAAGTTCTTCTGCATCATCATCATCATCAACATCAGCATTTTACCAGATTCGTGGCTTTAAATGGGAGGTTCAACGTCATGTCAATAAGTGTGACTACTTTTGAAAAAGGTGGAAGCCAATTTTTAAAAGCCTTTGGAGTAGTCATGAAGAAACATGAAGTTGAGCCAAGTGTATAATAAAATGTGTATAACAAAAGTTATAGAGATGCTTCGTAGAATTGAATGCCAAAACATCTATGTATTCTTTCACTAACCACGTTTTCATTTTCTATCAGTGTCGTTCCATACATTTCTCTCCAACTTCTATGTGACTATGTGACCGCAAGTGTATATATTACCATTCAATATCAATCAAGTAGGATTTCTGTTGCCAAGACATTCGTATCTTGGGTTGAAAATAGGTAGAACATATATATGTATTAAAGTAACATTTATTCATTCTTAAGATATGACTTGTTTTACTCACCGGGCTTAATATCTTCGTAATTGATGATCCAGCTCTCATCCCAGAACATCTTCTCCTGTCGCCAGTAAAAGTACTGCGAAAGAAAGCGAAATGAGAAGTTTATGTTCTCTTTTATTCCATTATAGTATTTTTTCATTCCATACTCTTTTGAATACCATTCATATCATAGCAAAAGACGCGTTGAAACCATACTACTATACAATTGTACTATTTACATTTAAAAGAAGTATACAAAAAAAAACATCGTCACAATTTTTTTTTTTGATGAGAGCAATTCTTTAAACACCATACCATAACACTTTATCGATTAGAGGATGAACGAATTATAGAATTGTGAAATTAATTGGAGTTCACCGTGACAATTATAATTCTCTATTTAGAACTGTTGTTTGAAATCATTTAATTTTCCCACTTAACCCATTATTATAACCTATGCGCCCCCTATCGGCACTGATATTCTAATGGCGGAAAACCGCTTTTTGGGGGGCGAAAGTGGAAAATCAATGTTAGTCCCAAAACTTTAGCATCTAATAATGAATAGGTTCATATCTTACCCCGATAACGCAGCAGAAACTGCCGACGACTACAATACAACCGGCTATGATTCCCGAGAGAGCCCCGATTGATAATGGGCATCGTCCACAGTCGGCTGGGCAGTTCGAGCAGGTCTCCCCCTCCAATTCCTCACAGTTCTTATTTCCGCATTCTGTAAAAGAAAATCATAAAAAAGGGGCAATTAATAAACGTGGTATTATTTGTGTGATACGCAGCTTGACATGGTTGCAAAAACTCCTGCTTTGGATCACATTCTTCCAGGGATGAACGAGTTCATTCAGACATAAGAACCCTAACTGTTTTAATACTGACGAGGGGTACTGATTAGTAAATATGACCATATGACTTATTATAAATACTATTATTACTACAATTATTATCATCATTATTATTGTTGTTGTTATTATCATATTATCATTATCATAATCATTATGATGAAAACACCGACATAAATGATAATAATAATTATGATGATAATAATTATAATAATAACAACAGTAATTATAAAAATAATAATAATCATAATCATAATAATATTAATAATGATATCAATGATGATACTAGTACATGTATATAGGAAAAGGAGTGTTGAACCGCATTGTGCAATTTGACTACCCGCAATGAAAATGAGAGGAAAGAGATCATAAAGTTCTCTGGTAATTACAAATAGGATACCCATGAATATCAGAGGAGGCTTTTCAAAATGAAGAGGCTTTTGAATTCAAGGTACCTCACCCCCAATTTTCTGCAATGATTAGTCACATATAGTTAATTTATTTCTCATAAATGAACTGCACTAACATCTTTTTTTTAAGCGTCTTATACATTTAATTCATGATCTCTAAAGTCCACTTGTATGTAAGCAACACGTATGGACATCGTCCGAACGTCTATAGCTATCATCTGATTTAGATTGCCGCCGTCTTCTCAACGATATTACTTATTCCTACCCTTCAAAAGTTTCATTACATCGTCCTTTTCTGTCGATCTGTAGTCCAGATAAGACTTAATCGAGTCTCTACTCATGAAGGAAATCCTGCTTTTGTCCGTTATCTTTATGTTTACGTATTTCATTTCCTACTTCTAACTATTCTCCGTCCTCATGTTGCTCTCTCTCTCTCTCTCTCTCTCTCTCTCTCTCTCTCTCTCTCTCTCTCTCTCTCTCTCTCTCCTGAACATTATGTGCTCGCCATGTCATGACGAACTTCACCAATCCTCATTAATGGAACTATCAATCTCAGTGCTGCCCACAGGCGGTCAGCTGTGTACAGTGTGAAACCAGCCGAGCGCAATGCAATATAGCCACCCGTTTGCGCTAAGCAATTTGGCAAAAATTGGATATTTGCGCAGCCCAGGGCTAGGCAAAGTCGCTCGTGTGAGGAGTTGGACAAACTTGTACCTCCAAAATAAATGTTGCAATCGGCATAGCTTCGCAGACTATTTATCTTTCCAGACAACGTTGGATTTTAATCTCTTAGAGGCTGGGCGCGTTCCAATGGTTGTGACTCGTATGACCCGTGACCGAATTACACAGACATATCTTTTGACGATGCTTGTTAACCCATGTCAACGATTTTAACCTATGTGCGCACACTAGAACAGGCTTAACATGCTACAAGTTTTGTAAACAGGGGGATGCACGCGATATCAAAGAACAAAGAACCAACGTCCATGAGAACGTTCCTTGTGTCGATTTAGTATAAACCCAGGTACTATGTTATTGAATCGTTATGCGCAATGCGGTAGTACACTGCGACATCTTCTGCCAAATCTAATTTCGCGAATATTTTCATAGATATTTCGTACCCTGAATCAAGCTCCCCAGCTCTATTGGCTTTCTTGTGAAAACATCATTAAGCAGCAGGTAGAGGAAGAAAAGAGGATCGTCCCTGCCACTATAGTCGCAGGTAATAGTTGGCACTAGCAGGTGAATAAACGGGTGATAGTACTTGCTATTTTGAGTGAACATCCTCACTGTCTCGTTAGAGCAGTGTACCGTGTAAAGGGTTGTCCGAGAAAAGGGTTAAGGAACCCCTCCTCCCTCACACCCACACAGATGAAAATTACATTTCCTCGGTGATTTCTCCTGTGGGAGGAGAAGAAACCGAGGTTTTTATCCCTACTGTCAATTCGATTCTGGATCACAACCCACATGCAATGTGCAAAACATACATGCCGATGAAAGACATTATTGTGCGAAATGCTCTCACGAATGAAGCCATTTCATAAAGCTGTCTGCATTCATGTGGTGAACTTTTACAGAAAATGCCAAAAGTGCTTTTACAGACAGTTCGGAGCACACTTAGCTTAAAGTTTGATACAACTGCTTAATGACAAACTGATTTCACTAGTTGTGAATTCATTCTTTAACATTGAGTCTTTGTACTTTTTACGCGAAATATATGACAGGGATTGAGAAATAGATGAGACGTGAAGCGTAAAGAGATGAAAATTGTAATGGAGATATATAAGCATCGGGTTTAGAGACTAAGAGCGACAAACAATTGCTCATTTCGATTTAAGGATGTCTGCTTCGCTGCTTCAAACTAAGAATTATAAAAATATAAAAATAGACCAATTTGTCAAATATTGAGTGCTCAAGCTTACCAGTATACATTTTAAAATATACCTGGATGGGTCTCGGAGTACAAATGCAGGCTGATGTCATACCAAAGAACATTATATTATATTATATTATAGATTTTAACTATTATACTTTCGCTTGAAATTCATGTGACACTACAAAGACTCTTTGAATTAAACTGGATAGCGCAACAAAAATTTTACCCGAATTCCCCCTATTTTTGCACAATCATACACATTTCTCCCTTCCTGTTCATTCTCTAAATCTGTCATACTTTGCATACATCCCCTATCTACCTGTATCTCTCTTCTCTTTCCTCTGTTTTCTTAAATTGAGAATTACCATGATGAAATGGCGCTTTATGGCAGGAGATTTATTAGCATGATGATTCCCAGGGCAGCTAACCCTTGGACAACAGTTACTATCCACGGATAAATATCCACGACTATCCATTCCAGGAGAACTTCCCCTGTTGGGGAAAGTACAGTATAACAAGCAGGTAAAACCATTTTGTTGGTTTTCTTGAGAAGTATGAATCCTGGTGCTAGGTTTCGTCGGTTGTGGTTGTCACAGGGACATTCATCAGGGCACCGTCTCATGGAAGCGTCTCATGTAACCGTCATAAGTTTGCCTACATCCCACTGAAACGTTTGTATCAAAATCAACACGCGTTTGAATGGGTTGTCGGCAGTATTCTACTTACGACAGTTTCGTTTCGTGAAACAATGCCCAGCGGCTCAGTTAACCATAATTATCCTAAGCCTTTAATTTATCGGGATGGACTTACCGCTCCTAGGCCGGACCGTTACAATATGGTGCAGCGCCGCCTGCCAGTTTCCTATTCTGATATGGGCGATTATCGAAGTAACACCATCGGGAACCAGGGCCAGAGGGGTTGTCCAGTCGGTGTGGTTTAAACTGTCCACATTGGACTCTGTGTGCGTGAAGATGTCCCCGGACGGCGGAACCCAGGGACCACAGATGCCGCCCGAATCCGCAAGCTGGAACAAAGAAAAGAAAAATTAAGAAAAATTGACTTCGTTGTTATTAAAGCATGAACACATTGTAGAGGTGTCGTAATCGAGAGGTTTGAGCACTTGACTGGAAATGCGACGGTTTTGAGTTTGATCCCCGACACGGCACTAATGTCCTTTGACAAGGCATTAATCTGCATTTGCCACTCCATACCTAGGAGAGAAACATGGACCTGTAGAAAGACGAAAGCATTTGTAATACGGATTGCCATACGCCCTCAAGGTGACCATAGGTCAAGGAATATGGAGTGGAGAATGTGAATACTTAATGAATACAGATTGCTGTATTATTCATTATTATGTTTTAACTTCCTTTCCTTTGCCTTGACATTTCATGAATGATAAATGACGAACAATTACTTTACTTTTACAAACACATATCTTTAGTTTGTATCACAAGTTATATTTCTTAAAGGCAGGTTTTATTTCCGACTTCATTACCAATGTTGTAATGTATCGTTCGGTGAAGGCCTAAATAGAGCGATTTCCGGTTCAACTGACCCCAAGCATGACCACGCGCACGTCATCAGTTGGTGATGCATTGCGGGACTTGGCTGTCGACACCCACGGTATACGTAAATCTAAAGTTTTGTCAGCAGAATACCCTGCCTTTAAGCCAGATCCTGATTGGGGTTCCTTTTTCATGGTTCAGTTACAGGCCACGATGTATAATTAAATAGATACATGAGGGCTACAGCGGAAGCATGCATCTTGCTTGATTTGCTTGCTGACCTCAGTTTATCTAGGACAATAAAAACGAAATGGAGTGACTTGAAAGGAGGGACAGAGAAGGGAAGGGGCCCTGTTTTCCTACTGCAATAATACATGTATGAGTAACATAATAGTTGTCACGTTGAGGTTAATGTGCTCCTCATACATTCTCCGTCTGATATCACCTGGAGGCTGTGCGACAAGAGAATCCCGAAATCAAAATAAATATTTTTCAATCCCATTTCCTTTGAAATTGGATATGTACGCCACTAGAGTGGATAGTTAAAAAACAATGAGTGCTCAGAGAAAAAAAAACGTAAACAGTAAAAATCCTTAAAGTAAAATAAAGATTATGTACTGCAAAATAGGTCGTTTTTGTATTGACCCCAAATGTATGCATACGTCTTTGTGAAGTGCCTTGATGTGCACTGTTTAATTCACCTGTTACAAATAATCGTTTTCGTAATCTGACATTTTAAATACATTATTATTCGTGACAGGTGAATGAAATAATGTGCATGAAGGCACTTCACAGAGACGTTTGCATCAAATGTTATTATAACACAAGCATTCGAAGATTTCAAAACTTTTGTAATTTTATTTTAATATTTTGACGGCACGAAACTTTTGTAAAACAGAACATTCTAGTTTTGCGTTATAAGCATGGAAACTGCAATTATTTGAATATTGAAACCAGAACCGTTACTTAAACCTACTGGAAAATATTAAGGTAAATGCAATTCTGTTGTCTTCCTAAGTCTTCTTTTAATGGGTATGGGACCACTCTGGAAAAAAGATACTCGGGATTAGAAAAGGCTCAACAAAAAAGGCCCTCAGTCGGTTCCACCACCGGTAGATTACGAAAAACTCTTAGCTTCTTATCCAGAGTGCTTCAGCAACCATTATCTTAATCCTCGTAATCAAAAGCAGGAAAGATAGTGGAATGCAAAGTCCATTAAGGCAGTATATCCACATCATACATTTCATAATTCTGTTCAGAAATTAAGGGCAATGGCTACGGCACATCACCGAGGCAGTCATGTCATAAGAAAAATAATGTAAGGGGGATATTATACAGAAGACGAAGATGTAAAGAGAAACAGGACCTGGTGCACATCCCCTCACCGTCCCCCTCTGATGTTGTTCAGCCAGTTTCCTAGCATTTCGTCTCGGTAACCAAGCCATGGTAACACCGTTATAATTTACCCAGACATCTTCCTTTTTGAAGAGGATGATGATGATGATGATATAACCTCGTGGTGATGATTATATTCATTTAATAATACGTGTATAGCTATGGTTATAAATATTATAATGTTGACATAAATACTTCCCCTACCCCCCCCCCCCCCCCCCACCACCACCACCACCACCACCATGAAATTACACTGGTTTAAAGACCTCCTTGCACTTATTACCTTGAACGAAATCTGTGCATTCAATTTTTAGTTTTGGAATATACATAAACTGAGAGATGGGATGTTTCTGATTTGGGTTTGTTTTGTCTCATGCTCCCTATTGCATTTTGTTTGTTAGTCTGCTGTTGTTTTTGCTCGTCTGGAAGTGGGAGGGGAAGGGGTATATACAATGACTCCTTCAAATTTTCATTTCCAATATGTACGAGTCAACACCCCTGCAACCAATACTCTCTCTCTCTCTATCTCTGCAAGAAGTGTGCCTTCCTTCATTTATCACTCCTCGAAGCAGGGGAATGGGTGATAGATAAAATCATTATGGAAAGTCCCACAGCAAATCTCGCAAAGAACGTTGAACCACGGTCCGGGAATTCGACACGGGGGAAAGTCGAAGACATTATTATTTTGATTCGGATTTTGCACTTTTCTGCACGTTGCATGAATGGGTTGCAGCACGAACGTGCTCTCCCGAATCATCACATTCGATGTGTTACTTCACCAGTTTGTCTACATCTCGTTTCGCCCCCAAAGAGAGCTTACTTAATTGATTTCGCGACCAACTTTTTCTCCAGGACCCACACAAAATGAAATGAAATGATACAAACATGTTTGAAACAATAACGGTAATTTGATAATTAAAAAAGCGACCGAGTAAGGATCATGTATTATCCTACATGATTCTATTAAAATGCAATTGTTATATACTCTGATCACAGTACTAACAAATCAAGCTGGTGGCAAATAAAGTGGTCACAATTAGATTTTAAAACCATGAAAATATGTCTCATTTCAGGAATATTAAAAACTATCCTATCGGATGACTCTCTATTTATGAAATTAGAGAATTCAGTACCCAACGGCTTCAACCAAATGTCTACTCTGCCCTGTCCTGACTTTTTTCTCTCTTCCATTAAACATGATGATTTTTCTTCCCAATCCCCTTTCAAATCATTCTCCCTCAGGTAGCAATTTCTTCAAACCTTAATCTTTAAAAAGAACGTTCGCTTGTCTGTGCTATCAATATAGTATGAACGATCATCGGGTGCCAGTGCCCCATTATGCGACGAGAGGGCAAAATTCAAATGCCAATTTGCGTTAAATAACGACGTCAAATGTTCTCTTAAAGGGCACTTTGTTCAGTGGGGCTACGCACTGGTAATGCTAGAATAAAATGGTGGAAGATAATGAAAAGCTATACATATGTATATGATTAATAAGCCCCCCCCCCCCCCGAATATAATATATATACAGTGCGTCCCAGAAAAAACGAAACCGAGAATTATCGATGTGTTATCATAAATTAATCAAATTTATAATTAATAAATGACACATATTTGGAAAGCTTAGATGTTCCTCTTTTATTTGATGCAACTCATATTATGCATATTTCTAATGCATATGAGTGATTAAAATCAATTTGAAGAGAGGAAACCGGCAAGTCATTTGGCGGGCGGTATCTGAATTTCAAAGAGAAAATCATATTTCTAGAAAGTTGGGTTTCGGCTCTTTCATATGACACCTCAATCAGGAAAAATGAGCAAGGAATGAAAAAGTTATGTTTGTTTAAAGTAGCCCTTAAATTTTCATAATTTTAGCAAACAAATTCGTTTTCACTGGCTGCCTGCCGTAGCAAAAAGGAGAATTGACAAAAGACTTAACTCCGTTTCGTTGACAATCAGCCATGCATGAAGTCTTTCGTCTACGGCTGATTATCAACGAAACGGAGTTAAGTCTTTTGTTAATTTCGTTTGGGTTTTTTTTAAAGAGGTCTTGATTTAACCCTAACCCTAACCCTGACCCTAAATTTTCCCATAGGCTCAACACGCACCTAACCCCAATCTGTGCCGCAGAAAAAAAAATAACGCCGGCGGCGGGCCTTAGGCTCTCTCTGTCAATGGAGGCAGGGGGTTGGGGGGGGGGGCTTTAAGGTAGGCGCAAACAAATGACAAGAAAAGAAAATAAATCATACATTGTTACGTTTACCCCCTCGAGGCCCTTAGGGTTTTGTCTTAATCGCTTTCTCTCTATTTTAAAATCAAGAAGTGGCTGAAGTGGTTCTCTTTTTAGTTTAAGCATCGCACAATCTGTGTCGCCTTCCAAAGAAATTAAATAAGGTTATCCACTCAATCTCAAAGTGATTTTGCACCGTCAAAATGACTATCATCAGCGGAATGGTTATGACTCCTCAGTCCTACAGTGTACGCTCTAAAGGTAAGCGACAACTCTGTCGTTTTTAGCACGTGCGGGAATCCATGCAGTTATCTATAACACGATCATCCCCCATCGCATTTTATGGATCTTTACACAAAGTAGCCTATTTTGTTTTCAATGCAGCGTGTATTCTCTTGAAACAAAAACTTAATGAAGTAGTCCATGAGAAGATAGACATAGCTATACAGACGAAGAAACCTGATCGGGTGGCACGCTTTACACATACGCCATTCTAATCGAATCGGCTGGACACAACTGGGTTAACTGTGAATAAGAGAGGAGAAAATGATGGTTTCCATTACCCCAAGACTGAAGCTGCGCAGTCCCCGGGGTACATCAGCAGAATTGTGATCACTGTACGATGTATCATGAAAGGGTAAAAGGCAGAGAAAGATAAAGAGAGATTATGTAAATAGAATATGGAGAGAGAGAGAGAGAGAGAAAAAAAAAAAGGGAAAAGGTAGAGAGAGAAAGAAAGTAGAAAAAGAAAGTAAGAGCAGGACATAGGGATAGATCGATATAGATAGATATATATGATAGAGAGAGAGAGAGACACACACACACACGCACACAAAGAGAGACAGAGACAGAGACAGAACGAGAGAGAAGATGGAAGGAAAAACAGAT